CTTATGCGCATGTATCAGCCCCCATATTTTTTGGAACTATTAAACATAGAGGGCTGATATTCTCAGGATCGCTTAGTACATGTGTCCCTGGGTCGCCCTGCAAATTTCAAGGGGATTGGAGGGTTGGAAGGGCCAAAAAGGTGCTTTTTACTTGCGCATGAAGCCGACGACGCGAAATAAGTCGACTTATGCGCATGTATCAGCCCCCATATTTTTGGAACTATTAAAGATAGAGGGCTGCAATTCTCAGAATCGCTTAGTACATGTGTCCCTGGGTCGCCCTGCAAATTTCAAGGGGATTGGAGGCTTGGAAGGGCCAAAAAGGGTCTTTTTACTTGCGCATGAAGTTGACGACGCGAAGGGTTAGGCGACTTATGCGCATGTATGAGCCCCCATATTTTGGGAGCTATTGGAGCTAGGAAGCTGAAATTCTCAGAGCTTCATCCTACATGTATTCCTGGGTGGCCCTGCAAATTTCAGCTTCCTAGCTCAATTAGAATTGTTTTTATACCCGTTTCATGGTTGAGCCACAGATTCAGGTCCAACGCATGGCATGCAACCACCCCCAAAATGCTTCATTTTTAGGCCTTCCCGAAGGAATTTTGGCATGGGACTGTTCCTGTAAGAAGGCACGAGGGTTAGGAAGGTTGTGTTAAAATTTCAGACTGATTGGACAAAAACTAAGTGTCTCGGACTTATCTCAGTTCGGGTCTTTTTTAGGATTTTACGTCTATAATTGAAAACTGTTTTGCCTAATTAACGGCCTTCCCGAAGGAATTTTTACTTGAAATTTATACAGCACCTGTGCATCACCCATGGGGGGTATGTGTTAAAATTTCAGAGCGATCGGACAAAAATTGAGCGAGTTCGATATTTTTGAGCCTATTTTTGATTTTTTAAATATCCTTCCCGAAGGAATTTTGACTTGAAATTTTTACAGCACCTGCGCATCACCCACGAGGGGTTTGTATTAAAATTTCAGACCGATCGGATAAAAATTGAGGGCGTGAGAGAAAATCCGATTTTTTTTCTGCCTATTTTTGATTTTTTAAATATAGGATTTCTAGTTAACGGCCTTCCCGAAGGAATTTTGACTTGAAATTTTTACAGCACCTGCGCATCATCCACGAGGGGTTATGTTTAAAAATTTCAGACCGATCGGATAAAAATTGAGGGCGTGAGAGAAAATCCGATTTTTTTCTGCACTTTTTGATGGCTTTTGTAATTTAACGGCCTTCCCGAAGGAATTTTGACTTGAAATTTTTACAGCAGCTTCGTATGACGTACCCGAAGGCTGTATCAAAATTTTAGGTTACGTTACGGTTGCATCGGGTGAATGCAGCTGAATTAGGGTGTGCGGTGTATTTGGGTGAACGTCCTTTCCGACATTTTCCGGTGAATTTCGTTGTCCGTCGGATTTCAGCCCGTAGGGATCCTTAGCGTGCACCGATCGGCTTCAAATTGGTACCAAAATGTAGCCTGACATTCTGGCTACAACATATCCAAAGGAGAAGTGGTTTCGACTCCGGGAACAGGGTCAGAAAATTCGAGTTCTGACCCCACCCCTCAACGATTTTTTCCAAAAAAAAAATGTCGTTTTTCGTCCAGTTTTCAGTCAATTTAATATTTTATCTATTGTGCTTTTAATATGTGATAGCTACCATCATGGCGCAGCCAGCGCACGAAATTTCGAGAGAATTAGTCCTTCGGAAGGATGCCTCAGCAGTCATAATCTGAAAAATTGACCGATTTCGGTTTTTTGGCCCGTAAACATGGTTCCCGTGCATTAAAAAATTTTAAACTTACGGATCAATTCGGGAGGACATGTACCTATCACATATGTAAGAGGCGATAAAATTCGTTGAGACTAACAATTTCAAAAAACATTAAAACCGAAAACTTTTTGAAAAAAACGTTTTTTGACAAAAAAATTTTTATTTTTCATCGTATCGAAATCGGAGTGGTACCCAGGTGTGGCTAGTGTAAATGTACGTGTTGTGTCCAAATTTCAGGTTCCTCGGACAATTTGGGCCGCTTTCGCTAGCTTGAACGACTTTTTTCCCCTTATGGAGTGCGTAAAACGTCTGGTGCCTAGAACAAACGCCTAGAAGGAATGCAGGTAGAGCCTTGAAATTGTCAGGGTACCTGGGGACCATTGAGACACGTTGCTCGCCGAAATTTGGTAGGCATCGTGCCTTTGGTTCCGGCGCTACGCATGCGCAAAGCAAAATCCAGCCCAAAACAGTCTTAAAGAACAAATTGTCTGTAAAAATGGCCGAATTTCTTCGAAATTTCGGCTACCCCCCCATTTTGATACATTGCGGTTCCAAATCTGGTCTCAAAATTGAAATCGAACATCTAGTTCCACCTCTACTCTATTTTTTTGAGAGGGGTACCCTCGGGAAAATGGCCGCCGCTCCGCCCACAGGAGTCGGAGCCCCAATTTTATTTTTTTGAATTGTAGCCAGGTCCCTGGGGCAGGTGTCCAGTGAGTGTCGAACGCGTGTGCATGTAAATAAAGGTCTGGTACGCGCGCGCGCGCGCGTATTTGACTTTTTCGATTGATTTTCGTCCGATTTGGCCCTTATTTGGCTGAGATGTGGGCCAGAGTCGTGGCTACGAGCCCCTAAAATTTGGTGACGATCGGAGTTCAAAAACGGCCAGGAGGAGGCTCAGTAGAGGGGTGACCGAGGTCGAAAATCAGACCCCCTGAAATTCCGCTCTTTGGTGCTTAATAATTCCTTCAAAAATGGTCGAATCTTTTCGAAATTTTGGCTACCCCCCCATTTCGAAACATGAGGAATCCAAATCTGGTTTAAAAATTAAAATCGGAGCATCCTACGATTTTTTTAAATTTTTTTTTCGTTTGGGGGCCCTTGCGGAAACGCCCATATTTCCACTTCCGGTGATCGAAACCGGACGTTCTTGGTACCGACGGATAGCCTGGACCACAGACTAGGTCCTCCGTGAGTTTCAAGTCGAAATCTAAATTAGTGCGCCCGTGCTGATCCGCGGCGCGCGAAACTTCCGATTTTTCGTCGATTTTAGGGGGGGTACCCTCGGTTGGCGGGCCCGTACTCGGCCCCCAGGGACGATCAGTCCAACGGAAGGGCCGCTAGAGCCGGAAAACATAACCCCAGCACCCCAAAAAGGCGATTTCTGGATTTCGAGATTTGGGTACCAACAGGAAAATGGCCGTAGCTCCTCGGCTATGGCTCCGATCGTCACCAAATTTTCAGGAGCGCCAGTAGAGGGTTGGGCGCAGGTACCCTGAAAATTTCAGCCAAATCGTCCGAGTAGTTTGGATTCCAGAGCAATTCTGTCCAAAAAGTGGATACTTTTGAATTCAGAGGCTGATCAGGAACCCTACTCGACCTAATCGGGCCCGGGGACATGACCCTCAACTTTGTGTCGATTTCCCAGGGTCACAGGGGTTAGGGCCAGTTCACAGGTGATCCCGGGGGGTTAGCCTAACCCTCGGTAAACCTCATTACCAGAACACTAACCCCCACACTTATGGTTTTTGCTCTAGGTCTCTTTTTGGGCCCTAGAGCCGCCCCTATGGGCCCTAGGACGCCCAAATTTTGTAGGGATGTAGTACTCGTCACGATACACCTAACCATTGCCCTAACTAAGCTAAACGGCAACTTCTCTTTGATTTTTTGGCCATTGAAGGTGTAAAGGTGACCCAGAGATTGAAAGGTGACCGAGAGATTAGAGAAAGACAATTAATAATAGGAACATTTAAAATTTATCTTTAGGTGGTCTTGGCACCGAACTTTTACTGTGAAAAAAATTGTCGACCATAAAAACAATAGATATACATTGTCCGTCAATTTTACAGCATCCCCTGAGAACACTTCCCGCCCTGTATACATGTATTATCAAAACCGACTGAAGGTCAATAAGTTCCCTTTATCTAAATAATAGTTCGTATTTTATAAAAAAAAAAGAAAATTGAGCACTTTATCACACATGATACCAATGAGCCACCATACACTCCAGTGATACTACTTTCACAAATGAACCCGAGCCTTTTAGTAATGACAATTTTTGATATAATTCAAAATGTTTTAAGTGATCATTATTCTACACTAATGTTTAGTATGTGTAGAAAGTGGTTAGAAATTATACAGTTGTCATTAATTAGCAGGTGTGTAACTAGATGGAAAAGCGTGACTTTTTATAACACCCATCACTATTGAATACACAAACCTGGACAATACTGGTGTGTATCATTCAATAGTCACGGTTTAAACACCTTAGCGACAGAACACCTTGTTAATGACGTCTGCCTGATAACTAACAATTTTAATGAACTAATAACCATTATGTATATAAAATGATGACTTTGATCTGCTGGTGTCCCACCCAATCCATGGCCTAAGGCCGAAAATGGAAAGATTGCAAAATCATATTCTAAAAACAGGAAGCAGCTTCGGCTCTCCTATTTCTTGTCTGCGATGTAACTTATGTGGAAGCAGACGTTAAACACCAGGATACTACTACTACTGCTAGTGTCCTATATATTCATTTAAGAAAGTTATTAGTTGTTTAGTGAACGATATCAACTTTACAGTGTAGACTTGAACTAAGTACAACCTATTTTGGAAAACGAGATTAAAATCGTCGAAGACCTTAACTCTGGTTATATGAGTACTTGTAAATGTGGAATGGCGTCAATGACATTATCGACAGAAAATAATACATGTAGAAGAACCTTAAAGCGATAATTTCATATTTTCAAAGAAAATCAAAACATAATTATTTCTATGTCTTTTGCTCAATAGGTTGTCAACTCACTATTATACGATCATAGGTATCATTCTCACACTTAAAAATCATTCACCCCGGAAATAATAACACAATTACCTCCCTTGTTTTTTTACGTTTGATTTTGAAAATGAAAATGATATATTTGCCAATTACTCAACTGACAATAGTGAATTATTGGATTTAATAGGTTTTCTTTAACAAGGTAGGACTGTTTATAGATACCATCTATTTTAAGGCTTTATTTTAATACATTTTAAAAATATGAAATTGCAGCTTTAATACTTGTGGGCGTATAAAACATAATAAGCAATCATAGCCAAACACTAAAATAAATGTTAAAATTGACAGAAAACTTATCGAGGCGTGGCCTGGATAGTATATTCTGGTGTTGACATGCTCACTCCACACACCCCATCTGTACTGGGTTTCTCACTGCCGGAAGTTGAAACAGAAAACCGCTGTAAGATATTGGTGAAGAATAGAAATAGTTCCATTCTAGCCAGTGGTTCACCTGCACAAATCCGTGGACCTATGGAAAACGGTATCAATGTAGCAGGTGGTTTGGATACTTTTCCTGAGTCATCCAAGAATCGTTCTGGTTTAAACTGCAAGGGGTCTTTCCAATATCTTGAATCCAGATGACAGGCGTACATATTTGCAAAAACCAAAGAACCTTCTGGTATAAGGTAACCCTTTACTACGGTGTCTATCTCTGTGGTGTGAGCACTTGACATAGGCACTGTGTTTCCTAGACGTTGAACTTCGAGAAGTGTCGCTTCGTTATACGACATTTTAGATTTATCCGACCAGTCTACCATACGACCATCACCGACCACACTGTCGATTTCCTCTTGGCATTTCTTCTGGACTTCCGGATGAAGGACCATAAAGAGGAAACCCCAATCCAGAGTGGTGGCTGTCGTGTCAGAACCAGCAAAGAATAGATCCAAAATAATTCTTCTCGTGTTACTTTCGGTAATGGTACTAGACTCGCCGTCAACAGACATATCTAGGTACACATCAATAAAATCCTTAATATCGTTCTTATCGAAAACCTGTCTTCGTTTCGCAATGTGTTTAGCAATTAATTGTTCTACTTTCATCACGGCATAACTCACTGTCAGCATTTTCGAGGCCAAGAAAGGTATGAAGCGGAGCATAGGAAAACGATTAATAGGGGTAAACAGCACCATATCACTAAATCCATCTTCCACGACCTTAATGATTTGAACAAATTCTGGATCACTATAATCATATCGTTTACCAAACACAACTGTACTGATGATATTGGTTGTTGCTTTCATCATGATTTCATGAACTTTAATCGGTTTTCCTTCACATTGTGATAAATAGTCCAAAACGATGTTAGTTTCTTCCTTAATCCTATCCTCGAGGGTAGATTTCCCGACACCTAGATCACGAAGAGTACGAATTGACATTCTTCTAGCATCTTTCCATGCTTGTCCACTCGCCCAGAAGACCCCATGTCCACCCTTTCCGGCCTGATTAATTACCCAGAGTTTTTCTACTGGTCTAGTACTGAACAGATCCTTCTGCTTAACAAAAGCCTCTTCTATAGATTCGAAATCGTTTAAAACTATCAACAACTGGTCGCCAAAATATATTCGAAAAATATCTCCATATTTTGCTTGAAGATCTGCATAATATTTATGTCTCTTGCCAGCGAATTTGCCTCGCATATCGAACATATTTCCCACAATTGGCCAAAATGGTGGTCCAGGAGGTATTCCAGATCGTTCCTGCATTGAGATGACATATCCAATAACTAATAAGACAACAAGAGTCAGTAAAATTGTTGTAACATCATTAAATACTGCTACAATATCCCACATGTTAATCATATTTATAAATGTAGATCAACAACAATCATAACATTAATTATATATGAACATCTACCAGTTTCTGTGAGCTGTATGTTTAACGCCCTAATGTTCTGCACCGACTGGGCTAATGAAGACGGGGTTGTAAGCGTTATAAACTGTCACAAAATATGTAGGCCTTTTAGATATCAAGCCAGTCACTCAAAGATTCTCCTCTATCTATAACCCACTTTAAAAAATACTGCAAATATAAAATTTGACAAACATTTAATATATAACAGGTACCCAGATTTTGTGCACAACTAGCTGCATTTACTAACCAACGTAAAACTTACAACCAAACCCATTAAAATATCACACAATCGTCTATACAATATCTACGTATACGGGATTTTGCCATAGCGAGGCGCTACAAATTATATAGAGCTTGGGACCCGATGTTAAAATATTACAGAGGTCATTTTATAACAGTACATAAAAATTTCATATAAATATCTGTAAGTTTGGATTGTGGTTTCTATGTCCTGCTATCCAAATATTAGCAATACCTCACCTTATGAACGGATGTACTTTCCAGAAAGACCGTGCCATTCACCATGTTCTGTTAACCACTTCAACTCAAGAGCATCGACGATAGGACACGGTTTAAATATGGTTTGATACAATACAAAATAAATTGTAACGACCTATTTCTGATTTCAAGTCAAGCTGAGCTGAATATGAGAGAACCTGACCTTTACAGTCTAAATCATGTAATATGGTCTACTTAGACGCGACCTAATTTGCCACGCTGAATAAAGCTAGTAGCTAGTATACATAGCATCGTTATACGTGTCTTGCAGAGTCTTATATATTATATAGGGGGTTTGGATTACCGAATGGTTAGAACATGCGCGCTGTATTATAAGGTATGTCATTGAGTCAACTGGCGTGGTTTCGATTCCCCTGTTGTGCGTGACAAGGAGAAGTGTTGCCTGTCCAACCTCGTGGGTTTCCTCCCGGTTCTCCGGTTTCCTCCCACTGCTAAAGACTCCTACGCGCAAGAGAATTATTGAAATCAAATTGAACGATATGTTAGTCCCGAAATGACCTAGTTTGCGTCGAGTGGACGTTAAACCCATCTCTCTATATATATATTATGATATAGAGAGTCTGGCTAACCCGTGTCCCAATTCTGATTGGCTAATTACCCTCTTGAAAAGCATCGTTATAGTAGATGTTTTTTTCGATTTAAATTTCGACTGTATGGCGTAGTGTTGCGGTTTTGGTCACCCAAGAGTGACAGAGAGAGAAATGGGGTTTAACGTCCACTCGACACAAACTAGGTCATTTCGGGACTAACACATGGTTCAATCTTATTTCAATAATTCGCTAGCGCGTAGGGGTCTTTAGCAGTGGGAGGAAACCGGAGGACCCGGGGAAAACCCACGAGGTTGGACAGGCGACCCTACTCCTTGTCACGTACAACCGGGGAATCAAAACCCCGCCAGTTGACTCAATGACAGACCGCAGCCATTCAGCCATTCGGCCATCCAACCTCCCTCACCCAAGTGTGAATTTTTGAAAATTTATTATAAACTTGAGAATGACACGTTTGAGTTTGACACTGTAGCCTAGTAGTTGTTTTCGATTTAAACTTCATCGGTATGATCATAAATATTTGTTTTTGTTACCACCACTACACTCAATAACAGACTTATAATAGGTTAACCAAGTTTCATAAAGATATCTTGTGATGGACAGAGCTCGTTTCAATATCTTTCCCTTACTTTCTTCAGCGTGGGATAATAACATAACGATAAAAATTAAGTAAAGAATTAGTTTCTAAATTCAAAGGTAATCATTATTCCATTTATATTTGATTAGGGTCTATTGCAGTATTTTTACATATTTACATATTGTAATTAATTGATTTATTGAAATTATTTTCTACGCCTACATTTGTGTGAACATAAAAATACATTTGTGTAGATAAAAAAACATAAAAATCTGCCACACGCTGTACTGTGGCTCTATCTGCAACGTAAGAATTGGTAACAAAATGACGTCAGTTGACCAGACTCGATATATAATTCTTGTAACATGCTTGTCGTATGATACATGCCACTTATATATTAAAACAGTGAATATATTCTTTATTATTTTAAGGAAACCATGGTGACACAGCTGTTCACTAACCAGGATGTCCGGGGGTTTTATCCTGGGGCTTCCCTGGATTTTCTAGCCTGGTTTTCCGTTGTCAGTGGTGCAGGACAGAGGGCCACTCAAGGACAGTGGTGCAGGACAGAGGGACTCGCAATGGCATTGGTGCAGGACAGAGGGACTCGCAATGGCATTGGTGCAGAACGAGGGGAGACGAAGGCAGGGTGCGGAACGGAGGGCCTCGCAAGGACAGTGGTGCAGGAAGGGGGGCTCGCAAGGACAGTGGTGCAGGACGGAGGGTCTCACAGGGACAGTGGTGCAGGACCGAGGATCTCGCAAGGACAGTGGTGCAGGGCGGGGGATCTCGCAAGGACAGTGGTGCAGGGGGGGGGGGCTCTCGCAAGGACAGTGGTGCCGAACAGAGGGGGGGGGGCCTCGTAAGCACAGTGGTGCAGGACGGAGGGGGCCTCGTTTGGACAGTGGTGCAGGACGGAGGGACTCGCAAGGAGGGTGTCTATGCCTGTCTTCATTAGCCCAGTTCGGAGCAGAACAGTAGGACGTTAAACCCTATTTTCATGTAGACGTATATTTTCGTCGCCGCTGTCCGTTCGAAGGTTCGTCCACAATTTGTTTGTGGACACTATACAGGTCACAATTCTTATCCGATTTTGACGAAACGTGAAAAATAGGTTTATCTCCAAAAGATCTCGGTTCCTTTCGATATTGGCATGTATCGGATCTAAACTTCATGGATTGTGGCCCCTGATTGTCCGAAAAATCACGTTTTTAGCTTGTGGAAACTCTAGGGGTCACAATTTTCATCTGCATTTGATGAAACTTGAAATACATGTTTATAACCCGAAGATCTTGATTCCTTTCGATATTTGCGCATATCGGATCGTAACGAACGTCCTAAATTATGGCCTCTGTACGAAAAATCGCGTTTTTAGCTTGTGGTCCCTCTAGAGGTCACAATTATTATCCGATTTAAAAAACCGTTCGAATATGAGTTCGAATTTTGTGAAAATCGATCAAAACTGCCGGACAAAATGGTCGCCCCTCGTACGCAAATAGTGTAAAAATATGGTTGTGGATCCTCTAGAGGTCACAATGTTGATCGGATGTTGATGAAACTTGACATATATGTTTATAACCCAATAATCATGGTTCTTTTCGATATTCGCGCATATCGGATTGTAACTTCTTGAATTGTTCGAGAAATTGTGTTTTTAGCTTGTGGTCCCTCCAGAGGTCACACTTTTTATCTGATTTAAACAAACGTTTGAATATATCACCGTTACACCCTAATGATGGCTGAGTTCGAATTCCATGAAAATTGGACCAAACCTGGCAGACAAAATGGCTGCTCCTTGTACGCAAATAGTGCAAAAGTATGTAATACCAAGGTTGTGAACTCTCTAGAAGTCACAATTCAATTTGTATCCGATTTTGATCAAACTTAAGATATATCTTTATATCCCAAATATCTCAGTTCATTTCGATATTCGCGCATTTCAGACCACAACTTCCTGGATTATGGTCCCTGATTGTACGAGATGTCGCTTTCTTTTTTAGCTTGTTCTCTATCCATCTCTTGCAAAATGTGGGCGTATCTTGCCTGGCAACCGCGGGTTTTAATACGTATGTTGAGGTCAATCATTCCACGCTATGGAACAGTACCCTGGCACCTGAAATGATAGAAAGATGGGAATAAATATGCAATAAATAAAAACAAAGTGAGTAAATAAGGAAAAGAAATATGTGGTTGAATAAGAATGGAGACCTCCTCGGTAGTTTCAACTGGAGATGGAAATAATATGACTATATAATATAGTTTATCATACTACCCATATAAAATAGTTTATTATACCATCCATGAATCTAATATAAATTAGTTTATCACACCATCCATGAATCTAACATAGTCTATCATACCGTCCATTAGTATTGTAAATACATGAATAATATAGTTAATCATCTTGATAAGGACAAAAATGTAAATGTATATCACTACGTTGATCCATATACAGTATATATTTTACCTTGATTTTTATTTTGTTTTTCTTGTGTTTTTTAAATAAAATGTTTTATTTATATTTATGTATTGGTCTTACATTGTGTACATGAATGAAATGAATGTTTTAAATAACCTCTTACTGATCTGCACCGACTGGGCTAATGAAGAATGGCATAATACGACATATAGTGTGTTACATGGGGGGAATTTTGCCCGGACAGCGGAACTACGGTCTACTCTTGTTTTAGATTATAACTATCAATGGTTCTTTTACGTGCATATCAATGTGAACACGAGACCCCGCGTACTTATCATATATTATTTATTTGTAATGTTACCTTCATTCCATTCGTTTCGTTGTGAACTCTCCGGATATTCCCTTGAGACCAGCGGTGTTGGATGGCCGAATAGTTAGCACGTCCGCGCTGTATCATAAGGCCTGTCCTTGAGTCAACTGGCGTGGTTTCGAATCCCCGGTTGTACGAGACAAGGAGTAGGGTCGCCTGTCCAACCTCGTGAGTTTTTTTCCGGGTCCTCCGATTTCCTCCCACGGTGCAGACACAATTGATGCCTATTTCTAGTCCAAACTTCCAACAGTGACAATTTAATTATAGCAAGAATAGCCAACTCTTTATTAAACTATTAACTAATGTATCTTTAATTGGCTTATACCGGCTGCCGTTGACTGTACTGTTTGACGAACCGCGGTGTCTAGATGAAAGCAGACGGTTAGCTTGACAGAAACAAAAACGATTACTGCCTACGAACATGGGTTCTTTAGAGAAAATGTGATTTGTTGCTGAAAGGTTTAACTTGTATGAGAATCTATATCTGGTTGTACGAGAGACCCTCCTTCTAAATATCGAGTTAATTGTGTTATAATAGACACACGCGTACAGATGTCTACAGATACACAAATTAAAACAAGTTTTATTATTTTTGTAAGGAAGAAAATATAATTTCCTAATTGTTATTTAAATTCTGGTTAAGGGATAAGCTAGTCTTAACAGTCAATGGGCGTGTGTTGGCAAGTTAGTGCGGCGTCTACTCTGTCTCATATTTATTATCACTGATCAGGGTATACAAGGGTGTATTCAAGGATAGTTTGATTGGATATTGGATCATTTTTGATGTTCTAAACAATACACGAGGGTTGGATGGCTGAATGGTTAGCAGGTGCGCGCTGTATCATAAAGTCTGTCATTGAGTCAATTGGCGTGGTTTCGATTCCCCGGTTGTACGTGACAAGGAGTAGGGTCGCCTGTCCAACCTAGAGAGTTTTCTCCGGGTCCTCCAGTCCCCCCCCCCTCCACTGGTAAAGACCCCTACGCGCAGGCGAATTATTGAAATAAAAAAAAATTGAACAATGTGTTAGTCCCGAAATGACCTAGTTTGTGTCGAGTTAAACCCCATCTCTCTCTCTCTCTCTCTCTCTCTCTCTCTCTCCAAACAATACAGAGTTAGCTCCTTTAAGTATGGTAGCTGATAGTGGCCATGTAAAATCTCGCCCTTGGCATAACACGACAATACAATATATCAAGACGGTATTATAGGGATCATACGACAAAAAAGACTTGTTGTGGTAAAGTCTTTTTAATCTTGTTGTACAAGACCCAAAGGTACTTTGGCCAGCATTACATCATAAAGGATGTAGAACAGATAAATATAAATAAGGCTTGTACAAAAGAAATAATAGGAATATGCTGATTAATCATCTGTTTTCTCCGAATAATGAAACATTTTTCCTTCAAAAGTAAATTAATTTTGGCATTATTCAAGTAATCTAGAAATACAGAAGCAGGACGAAAGGCAATTAATTCCTCGAATAATACGAAAGGTAGTTAATTTCTCGAATAATATAAAAGGTAGTTAGCTATGTTAATTCCCCAAAGGGGGACTGTTCCTTGTTCCGGGAGGGGTTTCCACTCTATTAGTAAGTGCAGTAGGACCGCACTACACGCAATTATAAAGACTATAAATGGTGCCTTCTGGAGTGTATCTTAGTGTTTCTAGCTTATGCGGCAGTCTTATAATAAACAACGTAAATTCATGACTACAAGGGGTCCCCCAACTTGACTAGTTTAGGGACCCCTGAAACTGCCATACTCCTTTTCAGTCCATCCTTGGAATTGGTACCACAGGGGCTGTAAACATGGATCGTATAACCATTTCTGAACTAATATTAGGGCACAGATTCTTAAGAACCAGATCTATCGAAGCAACATTTAACCCCGGTGAAGATGGTGCAAAGGCATACCAAATATAGAACATTAAAGAACTGCTTAAAATTAATTTTAAATCCAAAATGGAATTCCGTATACCTGAAAACCTTATTCGATGTATTATAAAAGCAATTTCCACATGACAAATATTTCCATTATGGGTTCTATTATGATTGCCGTTTTAAATGTATACAATCTGGGCTTTTTAAAGTTAGTTTTAGGAGTCGAAATTGAACTCAGTAACCCCAAAAACCTTATATAAGACATATTACAAGCCATATCCAACTAAAGACAAGCGGTTGCCAAGCACGATACGCCAACGTTTTGCAAGAGATGACCATAATCCAGCAAGTTAGGGTCCGATATGGGTGGATATTAACAGGATCCGAAAGCTGTGGAATATAAACATACATTTTAAGTTTCATCAAAATCGGATAAAAAAAATGTGACCTCTAGAGTAACCACAAGCTAAAAATGGGAACTTTCGTAAAATCAGGGGCTATAATCCATGCCAATATCGCCAGAAACCGAAATCTTCGGGATATAAACCTATATTTCAAGTTTCGTCAAAATCGAATAAACATTGTGAGCTGTAGAGAGTCTACAAACAAAATGTAACGAACACACGGACGGACAGGGGCGACGACAATATACGTCCACATAAAAAAGGGTTTTGAAATCATTTTTTGAGATTAGATTTCAACCAAATAACACCGAAAACCACGTGAAAGACATAGTGCAAGTCGTGCTAAAATCCGCCATTTTGAATCTATACCAAGCTGGATTTTAAAATTCATTTTTAAATTAAGAGACATCGACAACCATATTTTTATATCTTACGAGATAGTGTCTGGTTATATTCGGGGAAAATGCCACTTTATTACCAAATTTAGAATAATGATTGACACCATGTGAAAAATACTTTTTTTCAATTGTTTTGGTCAAATTTGTTATTTTTGGAACTTTTGTATTGTAAGATTTTACGAGATATCGCTTTCAGAAACTCCCTGGAGACCGCCATTTTGAATTATATACATTTATTACGTCATTTACCCTTTGCCGTCATCGGCCGAAATTGAGTATGATGTTGTCTTGTATAAATATGATTGAACCCAACTGCATTAGTTTGTTTTGAGTTTATTTGTGGTCACACCACTTTGCAGGACAAAAGCCACATGGTTCGAAAATTATCTTGATGATCATCTTGTATATGAGTAAAAATATATTATTCTAGTACCCTACATCTCTAGATAAATATATAGGATACACATGGAAATGAAATGAAATAGGGTTTTACGTCCTACTGTTCTGCTCCGACCGGGCTAATGAAGACAGGCATACGCCATACAGTGTGCTATGAGGGAAATTTTGCCCGAAAAGCAGCACTACGGCTTACTCGTATCGAATTCTAACTGTCAAGGCATCTTTTACGTGCACGCCAATGTGTACGCGGGACCTCGGTTTTTTGTCCCATCCGAACGACTAGACAGCTGTCCTTGTCGGGCCCTCCGTCCTGCATCACTGACTAGGGGAGCCACGCTGGAACACCTGGATGAACTTTCTCGGCCAATGCAGGGATCGAACACCCGACAAGAAGACAAACTAGTTATTTCATTTACAGACTGGTTTATTTATAGACTATATTTAATTTATCATTTGTCATTTATTTACATTAATAAATACGAACTAAGTTGATGTGACGAACACAATTGGTTTTGTATCGGCTATATATATTTATTTATGTACATATTAATTGGTTTGTAATCGGCGGATATAAATGATGTGCTATATATATATGTGTGTATTTACACTATTTACATGTAAATACAAACTGGTTATTCTATTCTGAAGTTCACCACCTCAACTCCTTTCAACGTCTGGGTAAGGACATGTAATATTCGTTTTTGTTGTTTATTACAAAACTAACGCCCAATACTTTATAAGATATTATTTACATATGGAGGCGTAATAAAAACAAATGGGTAAAAAATCCCAAAAAAAATCTTGTATATGAAAATGTGATGAGTTTAAAGTAGCTAAGTTTCTAACTCAATATCATCCAAAATCTTCAACATTGAAAACACGATTTATTTGTCAATTTAAATCAACATTCATGTTGTGATCTTACCGGAAAAAAGATGGGCTTTTGATATCCAATATTTAAGACAGAATAAACATTTTACCATTGGTTTATATACATTCATATTACAGTATTATATGCGTTGCGACCCACTTTTGTCAATTTCTAGGTCCCAAATGTTAGCGATTTAGCTCCTTTAAAACATATATTAAAGTGTCTGATGGGTTTATTATTGGGCTATAAATATTTTAAGGTGCCGCATCACTGACGTCTTCAGTTAGAATTTCGCCATTTTCATTGACACTAGTTACGTCAGAAGTTTCAGCATTATCCGCGTGATTTTCAGCAGTAACATCCATGGTGTCATCATTGTTAGCTTCGTTCTCAGAATTCTCTCCTACTGTATCGCCTGTCATGTCAGATTCTTGGTATGGCGATATATCTTCAGTTTGAAATAAAATCGATCCCACAGTATTATAATATTTTCTCTTTTCATTTTCATATTCTTTTGCTGAAAAATTAAAAAAAAAAATTGAATCAATTTATGAGTTATTTCATTGGTTTTAAGAAATAATTCTTTCGAAATTAAGGTTTTCAGAATCGCAAATTCGGAACGCCAAGCACACTATTAGCCTCTTATTTACCGTGCAACTGCTAAACCTTGTGAAAGCGCTAGACAACGAAATAGGATCTGTGTTTTAATCAGGTTGGCCTTTTGTGGGCCTTTTTTTAGATCATAAATGTTATATAAACTATTATTAACATGGCAAGACCATAATCAACTCTCGATGTCATCTGATGGGTCCGATTTTCAGCGGTTCAACGGCTGTTGGTGATTAACCTTCAATGGATAATCGAGGCTATAATGTTTTTGAAATGGGGTTTTCAGCATATTCCCTTTACATTATTTATTTGTTAACTATTATAGCGAGAACTGTCATCTCTTCATCTTATCTTTCATCATGTCGCTTTAAGTAAGTGTGTATCACGGCCACGGTACAACAAACAGTTAAGAATCCCAAGCGTCTCCGTGAGTACACGAACATAAACTGAAATAGAGTTTAACGTCTTACTGGGACAATCTGCACGGACATCGGCACTACGGCCTTCTGTTAATTCAAAATCCAACTGTCAAGGGATCTTTTCGTGCACGCCAATGTGTACACAGGACATCGGGTTTTTCCGGAAAATCCCGATAAAGTTTCTCGACCTACATGGGCGCTCTAGGTTAGCGATCAAGTGTCTTACTCACTGTGGCTGCCGTATTTAGGACGCAAATAAAATGAAATAGGGTTAAACGTCCTACTCTTCTGCTCCGACTGGGCTAATGAAGGCTGGAGTACGCGAGGCAGTGTGTTAAGCGGGATATTTTGCGCTACGGTCTATTCTTATATCGAATTCCAACTGCCAAGGGATCTTTCACGTGCACGCCAATGTGTACACGGAACCTCGGTTGTTCATCCCATCCGAACCACTATACGTTGTCCCATTCAAGCTCTCTGTCCTGCACCACTGACACGTGGGGACCACACCGGAAAATCCGACGAGCGCACCAACGTCTTACTCACTGAGCCACCGCGACTTCCTAATATTCGGGACGTACGAGTGTCAATACAGTAATACCTACTTTGACTAATTAGTCGTTTATATTCCGCATAACCTTTTAAAGACGACCACTGTGATAAACTTATATACCATGGTTTAGAAACCCAATCGCCATGTAATACTTCAGTGGCTTGTGCCATTGTCAATGAAATGCCATCATTTTGAATCCTGAAAAACAACATAAATTTGTACGGTAGCTGCTATATTGTTTCCCTCAGTTAGTTAACGTATTTACCTTGGGTTAGGACTAGGGCGTGTTATGCTTGATAATTTCCACCTAACAAATACAATACTATTAATATCATGAGGCCCAATGATACACTCCGCCCATTTTCCCAATAATGAGGGCTACGAATTAGCATCCAACCATTTGTACGGTCAGGGGGGGTTGGATGGCTGAATGGGTAGCACGTGCGAGCTGTATCATAAGGTCTGTCATTGAGTCAACTGGCGGGTTTCGATTCCCCGGTTGTACGTGACAAGGAATGGGGTCGCATGTCCAACCTCGTGGGTTTTCCCGGGTCCTCCGGTTTCCCCCAACTGCTAAAGATCCCTACGCCTAAGTGAATTATTGAAATAAAATTGAACCATGTGTTAGTCCCGAAATGACCTAGTTTGTGTCGAGTGGACGTTAAACCCCATTTCTCTCTCTCTCATTGCACGGTCAGATCTGAATGTTAATGCCACCCGGAGATTTTCTCAAGGTCACGAGATGCAAACAGGGTTAGGACACACGATTCTTGCAGAGGCTTGTGGGCTAGGTTTAAGAATTGAAAGTAGAAAATTGAAAGAAAATAACATATAGATATAAAACGTCATATTGAAATGAAATGGTGTTTAAAGTTATAACTTTGTGCTCCAACTGGACTAAAGAAGACGAGCAAGTTGAAAGAATATAGCCTATAGATACAATCTGACTAAAACACAGATTCTATTTCGTTTCGTTTTTTTATAGTTAAAAATTTCGTCTTATTTGTCTGTACTGCATTAGGATCTGGAAGAGTTGTTATATAACATGCGCTCTGGATGGCATGAGTTATTAGCCAATGAAACCATCTGTTATGGCGACTTCTTGGCGTGCCATGCACGGAACTATGGGTAAACCACTAGAAATGTCATAGGGTCAAAAGTCGCTCGTACGACCACTGACGCGACCCTTCAGTAAGACTGGTCAGATCTTCATGTAGTGTAGGCCATCAAAAGTATAAAAAAAAACGAAACGAAATATAGATCTGTAGTTTAATCAGCTTGCCTATTGATATAAATACCCAAGATAATTTCACTGATTTCACATAAACTGTTCGGATTACATACTGAAAGCAGTTTTATATGATATAGTTAGTCCTTCAAGATGAAATTGTACCTTAAATGACACATTAGCTAATAGTAATTTAAACTGGACCGTGTTGTTAAAAAGGACCCTTGAATATGTTGAGTGATCGTGATTTAAATTAGATATTAGTTTAAATATCTGGGGTATATATAAATTACCTGTACGGTACAATAACCTCCCTGATAACTCGACCCAGTTCTTTACGTCCTTTTATATTTTTACCAGCATTTATTATAGATGTGTAACTTATTCCGAAGTATCTGTAATCTACAAAGTTGTAAAGACGATATAAAGATAGTACATATAAACACAGCGACTACCTATATACAGTATTAATTCTTAGCATTATCATGTGGTTACTTGTAGAGTTGAATTTTACTACAATATGCTTACATTCATATTTCTTGTAACATATAGCAGATCATGACTCATGCTGGTATTACACAATAGTTTCTCTGGGTTTGATTCCTGATTGTTTTCAAATTTGAGTAAGTCTGTGTCACTACAGGCTCGGGACTGTACAGCGCAGTGGACGCTTACGGCCAGCCCCCGGATCCATTCACTTTTTTTGAATTGGTTTTTTTTTTTTGTGGTTTCTGAGTATGATGTCTTGTCCATGTATTTGTTTTTGTGTAAATTATATGTGGTGCAGTCTGACCCCCTGCACTTACTATTAGGTCTGACACTGCGTCAAGTGGCGTCGTTTCGATCGAAAGCTTACATGTACAAGGAGTAGGATCGCCCGCTAAACTTCCACTTCTCAGGAATCCTTTTACATTCTTTCTAATCTTCAACGAATTGAGTTTAAGACAAACGTTTATGAGTGCACATTAAAAGATCTACAGAGGAAAATAATGATAAAGTAGCCGATGGAGCTATACCTACTTTCGTTATGAACTTTGTTCATTTTAAAAGTTGTTGCATCACATGATTTTATCCACGAGGTTTTATTGATACAAGGAGCGGTTTTAAACCAATCAGAGGCTTTTTCTGCAGAAGGAAACAGGAAAATAGCTATCGAAGTTTGATCTGGCCAAATTCCTAAATCTGACATCGGCTGGGTTACATATGAAATAGATCAACAGAAATACATGGCCAAATATGTGAAAAGGTCAGATTATATATGCATATCTATAAATACAATGCCAAAAGCCAGCCTGGAAATGTAGCACCTGTGACAGATATTGTCAGGCATTATTCACACTTTGTCAGGAACAATCTCTATGGTGCTTGTCATTTTGTTCGGTAAAGATTTGATCTGTTTTGTCTGTTTTTAATGTTTATAATACAAACTTAAATATACCAGTGTTCAGTGTCAGATACAAAGAAAGTCTGTTTTTAAGGTATACTGTTGCAGCTGCAGCTCTTGCTGCTGTTGCTGCTGGTGCTGCTGCTGATGATGATGATGGAAATTATGATTATGATTATAAATACCTGGATGGACAGGGCTAATAATTCTCCTTCTTTCTGCTTTAGATATTGTCTGTTGTTGAGAATATAAGATCTGAATTCTACGATATGAGCATCTGGAAACCTGATGAATAGGCCGATCCGATTGGATTTTGGAATCTCACACTATTTACAAAATAAAATATTATATATACTAGTATACTATTACTCATGCTATATTGATCTTTATATTTATTTATATCCCAAAACACAATGAGCCTTCGAAAAATAATACCACAAAAAGCTTTGATTTGATATTTGTTTATTTGGTGCAAATACTGCAATGTCTATCTTCTGTCTTGTCCGCAGGTTTATCTTGCAGATTTTTGTTTTGCGTGTAGTGAGGTCCTCCTGCACTTACTATTATATTCCTGCAGTCAGCTGATTTTATTGATGGGAATTTAATCTTAATTATTAATATTGTTTTAAAGTGCCAGTTTTGATATTAAATAACACTAACCTACCAAACGTACGTGTAAAGTAAACACGTGCACGTACTCTTCTAGATCGCCCATTAGAATTAAAGGGTGAAAGAGAGATTTAAACATGTGTCCAAGCATTAGGCTACTTACTACTGCTGTTGCTTCAGATTTGGCTTTTTGACTGTCCATTTGAAGAACTTGTTCATAAGATGGGGGAAGAACTGATGTGCTATTAACTGGTATATTAGTAGCTGGTGGAACAACTGGCCTGACTCTGGTATTAACTGGTACCTTGGTAGCTGGTGGAGGAACTGGTGCCGGAACTGCTTTTGTATTTACGACTTTTGGTTTTGGTTGAGCAGCAGCCTTCGTCATCAACTGATAATTAGGTACATACGTACACATTGGAACATAACGGATGTTCGTAAAAATTCCGTAACTGCTTCCAAAATGCATAATGCCATGATTACACTTTGTATAACATAATGCTTTACAGGTATCTATTTCTGAAATTATTCATATACGCACAAATTTGTCAGTTCGCTATGTGAACATTAAAATTAACATTCGTGTGTGTGTGTGTGTGTGTGTGGGTGTGTGTGGGAAGGGGGGGGGGGTCGGTGAGTAAGACGCCGAATGTTGGTCGAGAAATTTCCCCAGGATATTCCTGTATGGTTTCCCCTTGTCAGTGGTGCAATCGGAGGGTCTGATGAGGCAAAAAAAAATCCCAGGTCCCGTGTACACGTTGATGTGCACGTTAAAGAGCCATTGACAGTTGGAATTCTATATAAGACTACACCGTAGCGCTGCTGTACGGCCGTAATTTCCATCATAGCAACATGTATGGGTTACACCTGTCTTCATTGGACCAGTCAGTGCAGTAAAGTAAGGCGTGAAACCTCCATCTCATCTTAATTCATTTATTTCGTTTGATCGATATGTTTTGTTGATGTCCACTAAATAAAGATTTAACTGCTACCTGTACTGGTTTTCCTGTTATTCAATCTGTTGATTGTTAGCAAGGTTCAGTGACACGGACAGTATAAAAATGTTTGGGATTAGCTTTAACCTACCAAACGTATTGGATGCGGCTCCTACTGGTTGTGGCGTAGTGTTCTGTTTAAGTGGAATAGTTCCAATGGTTATTGGTAGGCGAACAGATAAATCTAAACCCCATGGAACCTCTACCCAAATCTGTAGAGAAAATGATGAAATTACCATGTATTATTTATCATCAATATTGGTACAAATCCGATCGACGACGAAGTTATCTGACCATTTCCATTTTAACTATGTGGCTCAGTGGGTGAGACGTTGGTTTACTAATCTGCGATCATTGGCGACCATAGTGTCCACAGAAAGATAGCTGGCGTTTCCATCAGGATTAAGGCGATATTAACGCGCTCTAAAACCAGTGAAGTAAGGACGCCACCCCGGTCTGACGGGAGTATAACTATAACGTCGAACAGACAAACATGCAGAGTACAGTCGTATTGACGTCATTTCACTCTATTATTACATGTGTATGCACCCAAATGAACTGAAGTATTTCTGACAGCTTCCGATTTTGTAAATTCCCGGGTAATCACGTTATCTTCAGACCCCCCCACCCGACCCTCCCTGGTCTAACCCCTGGTTTGTAATCATATTCAACTGACCTTAATATAATAACTAACATCTATGATATGACAGGATATATTTGTTGAACTTGATGGAAGGGCGTCGATTAGGAACATTTGGTTTTCCCACTTCCTCTCTTGTCCCTTGAAACAAAAAAAAAAACATAAAATATTACACACGGCTAACATACTGAAAGGAAACAAACAATATACACAGACATTTAAAAAAAACCCTATGTATCAGATCAAGAGAATGGACCCGAGGGCCAGCTGTCATCGTCCATCGTGCTGTACAGTCCCCTGTCTGTTTTCATACAATCTTCTCTCAAAATAAAGAAAACGCTCAAAGAAAAAATAGGAGGTAATGATAGGATATTCAGCATTATGGAACTTTAAGTTCTGGAATTATTCCCCTTATCCTAAAAAATTAGGAACGTGATAGGGGCTATAGATTTTAACGGATTCCTGTGACATTTGATTTGAGGCCCTGTGGTCATGACAGGATGAACCCTAGTAACTTTCCTTCCGGAGTTTGTTTTCCCTCATCTCCCCCTTCCCTCCAACACACATACACATTTTACCCAAAACCTTGCGTGTGCGACAGAGGCTACTGTTTTCACGTTATTCTTTTCAAATTTGGTGTGAAATATGGGGATCACAAGAGGACGAATCCTGTCATTATTCAGCGTTCCACGACTTTTCGTTTCTGAGCTATCCACCTTCGACAGAGGCTACGGTTTTCACGCATTCTTTTCAAATTTGGTGTGAAGGATGGGGATCACAAGAGGACGAATCCTGTCATTATTCAGCGTTCCACGACTTTTCGTTTCTGAGCTTTCCACCTTCGCCGAATATCATTGAAATAACGCGATAGATGATACAGTTTTAACAGATGTTTTCAAGCTTATAAACTCGACACAGATCTGATCTCTTACAGGCACCCCTTGTCAAATTTGATCAATGTCTAGGTAGGCCTATTCGTTCCTGAAAAAAAAACTGCTGTCGAGACGTATAACTGCTGTGTGGGCGTTTATCCACGCATAGATTTGCTAAATATACTGGATAACTGACCACTAGCTAATATTTTATATATAACACTCGCCTTAATTGACCTCTAGCTAATATGTTATATATAACACTCGCCTTACTTGACCTCTAGCTAATATGTTATATATAACACTCGCCTTACTTGACCTCTAGCTAATATGTTATATATAACACTCGCCTTACTTGACCTCTAGCTAATATGTTATATATAACACTCGCCTTACTTGACCTCTAGCTAATATGTTATATATAACACAGGCCTTACTTGACCTCTAGCTAATATGTTATATATAACACTCGCCTTACTTGACCTCTAGCTAATATGTTATATATAACACTCGCCTTACTTGACCTCTAGCTAATATTTTATATATAACACTCGCCTTACTTGACCTCTAGCTAATATGTTATATATAACACTCGCCTTACTTGACCTCTAGCTAATATGTTATATATAACACAGGCCTTACTTGACCTCTAGCTAATATTTTGTATAAAACAAAAACCTGTATTTATTTTGTTCGTCTTTAAACTTTATTTGATTTTATGTATTATTATTGAAGTACTTACAGCTGCAATAGACGATTCACCTTCAATAATACGTATGTGTGTGTCTGACATCTTACTATCACCATTAGCTTTAAATTCAGATATCTGAATTAACCTAGCTTTCAATTTACCCATGTCTTTCGTTGAATTATTTTTTACTAAAACTGAAAACGAGCAAAAAAAAAAAAAAAAAAAAAAAAAAACATAGACGGGAAAGCTAAATAGTGATATATTCTTTTGACAAAAACAATGACATTTTGAAATTAACATATTTATATCAATTACCCGGAGAAAACCTACGAAGTTTGGCAGGCAACTGTATTCCTTGTCACGTACAAGTGTGGGATCGAAGCCACGCCACTTGACTCAATGACATACCTTATAGAGCATATAGCCCCCCCCCCCCCACACACACACACACACCTAAAAATAGATGCGCATCCACAATATTGATATTATTTTTTAACCAGGAAACGTCTACATTGGGCCCATACAATTTGCATGGGTACCTTAATGCCACCAAAAGGTTGATATAAATATGTGTAACCGACCAGGAGGGGGGGGGGGGAGGGGGGGGGGGGCAAATCTATTATATAACACACCGGAACAATCACGACCCAAGTATCATATCTGCCAAATTTGACTGGAATCTGTTGAGTGATTTGGACGAAGAAGCTGAAAAATTGAAATATGCCGCGTCCCTACTTAAACAAAGGTGAAAAGTTTCTACCCAAGCATAAAGCAGATTTATTCATCAACATGTCTGAATGTCTGAACCTGTTCTGCCCATTACATGGCTTATGTATGTGTCACCCATACAACATACCTACAATCTGATTAAAACACACATCCTATTTCGTTTCGTTTTTTATAGTTCAAAATTTCCTTTAACTTGTCTTTATTACACTAGGATCTTGAAGAGTTGTTATCATTGACGTGTTCGGGATGGTGTAAGGGATTAGCCAATGAAACGGTCTGTTGCGGCGAGCTTTAGGTGTGTTTTACACGGAACTGTGGGTGATCCATTAGAAACATCAATACTGATTGGTTAAAGGGCCAATCCCGATACTATTTTTGAGGATAAAACTGCTTAATTTTGTGTAAAAATCCCTTAAAATCCTCTACCTTAGGGCCCAGCAACTAACTCAATATATGTGATACCTTTTCAAACAAAATGGAGACCAGTGTCCCAAGCTATATTATGCGGTGTGTGGATAAAACCAGGCTTTAATTTTATAAAAATTATGTGTAGGTGAAATTTACCTTTCGTTATCAAGTACAGCACATGGGCCATTCATTGCATAGACCTCTAAAGGAACGAGAATCAATTATCAGGTCATCCAACCAAAAAATTGACCCGAAATCTTAAAAGGGTTACGTGTCCGGGTAAGCATTTTTGACGTTCACGCCCAAACGACTTAATAATTTGAGCTGAAACTTTGAGACAAGGTAAATACACCATTCCTCTATATTTTGGCGCTTAAATATCATATGTACTCGGACTTTTTTTTTGAGACTCTGTTCAATTCGGGATAGTCCCTTTAATCAAATGTCTGGTTTCATAGGCTTACTTGCCGCTCGCATGACCTCTGACGTGACCTATCGCTACTACTTGTCTGGGGTCTGTTTCACGAAATTTTAACTAAGATAAAATCCAGATTTTAGTAATTTGATTGGATAATATTAGACTGATTGCAGTGCTGAGCCAATCAAAATTGAAGTATCTACTAAAATTTGGATTTTATATTTAGTTAAAATTTCGTGAAACAGGATCCAGATCTTCATGTAGTGTAGGCCATCGAAGGAATAAAAAAAACGAAACGAAATATAGATCTGTATTATAATCAGATTGAGCCTACCTACTAATTATAATGTGTTGGAAATCACCTTAAAGACATTGAAAATGTACAAAACATCTACACAATCATATTGAACAAGATATATGAAGGCGTATGCTTACCGTTAAGTGCTATTTTTTCACCAGGGCAATACGCTTTTCTATCGCATTCAGCATTCAAAACCAATGTTCCAGCATTGCCTAAACCAAGTGCCTTTGATACAGTTTTTTCTTGACCACGCCTAAGCGGAACCTATAAAAGATATTTTGAACCTTAACAACACAGTAGACACAGGCTTTACAAATTATATAGAAGTCGATTAATCCTGTATTTATTTTAGTTCTCTTGGACATCTTCTACCAGTAAGACCTTTAAGTAGAGCTCACCATAAACTCTACAATCTTGAACGTATCTTCTATTATTAGAATTAAATAAAACATTTTAAAAATAGTTCACTACTCCGAGTGACTGTTTCCGGTCATCAACGGTTAGTTCCGGTCATAAACGGTTGATTCCGGTCATGAACGGTTGATTCGGGACATGAACCGTTGATGCTGGTCACGAATCTGACCACGAACGGTTGATTCTGGACATAAACCGTTGATGCTGGCCACGAACGGCTGCCTCTGGTCATCAACAGTTGATTCCGGAAAATGTTTGAAACATGTGATACAGTAGAATGTTTGAATCATGTCTAATGTTTGAAACTTGTCTATATGTGATATGTGATACGGCCCAATCTTATGTCAAATTCCAACTGTCAAGGCTTCGTTTACGCACACGCCAATGTATACGACAACATCTGTCCTTGTCAAGCATTCCACTCTGCACCACTGACAAGGGAAAACCACATCAGAAAATCTCTAGGAATTTTCTCTGTCAACACCGTATGCGAACGGGCGTCTTCTTCATTTGGGGGAGCCACGGTGGCTAGGTGGTTAAGATGCTGGCTCGCTAGCCTGGAGGTCGGGTGTTCGATCCCTGCATTGGCCGAGAAAGTTCATCTGGATTTTCCGACGTGGTTTCCCCTTGTCAGTGGTGCAGAACGGACGGCCTGACAAGGACAGCTGTCTAGTTCTTCGGGTGAGACGAAAAACCGAGGTCCCGTGTATACAGTAGAATGCACGTAAAAGATCCCTTGGCAGTTGGAATTCGATATAAGAGTAGGCGATAATGCCGCTGCCCGGGCAAAATTTCCCTCATAGCACACTGTATGGCGTATGCCCGTCTTCATTAGCCCAGTATAGGAGCAGAACAGTATAGGACGTTAAACCCCATTTCATTTCATTTCATTTCTTATGCATTTGGTCAACTAGCTCCCGGATGTAAGCAGTGTTTATTTATACTTACTTTATAGCCAGGTTTATTGACATCTATATCTTCTAAAACTGTAAAACATCTCCACCACTTTTCATTAAAACTAAACATTGGTTTATCAACCACAACTTTCAACCAAAATCTAACAGCTCCATATTCGCCTTCAAACGACGAAGGAAGACCGCCATTGGGCAAACGAAATGAGAATTTATAATTTTGTTTCCCAGCAGGAAGGGTGACGTCGGGATTTGAAGACTCGTTATCTGCAATTTATAATAATTCATAATATTAGTATGCATACATTTTCCATTGATTCCAATTTTGTTTCAAAGATACTACCCCCCCCCCCCCCTCCGCCCCCGCCCCATGCTTACATAAATTTCGGTTCGTCATATATGGCCGAGTTACGTAAATTTGTGCCTTACCCATATTTAGATTTCAATGTCATCTGCCAAGCAGTTTAGCAGAAGGGAACGTATTTTTTAACAGCGTGTTTTGTTGCACATACTGACTATAGCGAGGTGAACAGCAAGGTCTTATTTTCTCACTGAGGTGTTCAGTTACATTGTTCAGGCGTTCAGAGAGACTGATATACGACCGTTTAGAAGTAAAAAGTTGCCCAGTAAATTTGATTGGGGCCGATTCTTTTTCGACAAGGACGGTTCCTGAACGTACAGGGCGAGTGTAATGAGACCTACGTTCAGAGCTGAACTAGGGTCAAGCATGCTTGTTTTCCATTATTCTTCAATCTTGCAATGTCTATTTATGTAAAAATACCTTTTCTGAAATCTGAAAATAGCTTTACAAATAACAAAGTCTACCACGCGTTATCAAAATAGGGGTTTACTGTGAAAGCCCCTTTAAAAACACAACGTAACTGGAAAATGAAATGGGGTTTAACTTCCCACTTTTCTGTCACGACTGGGCTAATGAAAATGGGGCCTACCTTTATTTCCAAATAAATGCACATGGCGTCCAATATATCGCTCTCGTGCAACGTACTCCTTCTTCTCAAACACGTTATCCCACTTGACTAAAGCTTCACCATAAAGATATATTCGTACAGATCTAACTTTTAAACTTTCTACGACTTGTAAACCGACTGTACCTCGTACCATCTCGCCGTTTCTGTACACTTCTTTCTCCCCGTCCAACGTTATAAAACACGTTATTTTTGGCATCGTGATGTCCTGTTAGTCGCTTCTACAAGATATAAATTAACAGAGATTAAAAGGAGTACTCCATCATGCTATGGAAGACTTGTTCAAACTTTTCATAATTTATGATATTTTTTTAAATGAAACATTTAATCTAAATACACAAAAAATGAAAAAGAAAAACATATTATGATATAAAAGTTTTAAAAGAAAAAAAAGAAATAAGAGTTATATTTCCCCCGTTAGCCCTGTTTACAACTCGTGATCTTGAGTAAATTATTCCTTTGGCCTTGTCAAATAGGTGTAAACATTGATTTGTTTAATAACTTGACGAGGGTGGACGTAGTTGATCCTAGCCCTGTTCAGATTCCCCGCCACTTCAAGTTTGGTATCCAAATTAACAGAATCGCAATTGATTTATCTAATAACATAAAAACAAGGGGAGGGGTTTTTTTTTGTTGTCCCCACATAAAGATATGAAATAACTACTAAGATTGTAGCAAGCACCTGTCTTCTATATTTCATGGGAGGGTTGAATGGCCGAATGGTTAGCGCGTGCGCGCTGTTTCATAAGGTCTGTCATTGAGTCAACTGGCGTGGTTGGTTTCGAATCCCCGTTGTACATGACAAGGAGTAGGGTCGCCTGTCCAACCTCATGTTTAAAGAGAGTTTATTGACGAAATCGTGGGCTGGGGGAGGGGAGGGGGCGTTGTCCTGTCCGCCTTGAATTAATTATGATAAATGAACATATGTATAACATTAATATCGAGTCCCCGTATCTAAAGATACATAACCTTTGATAAAATGGCAAAAAACAAATGACGGATACTTACTAGAAGTTTTATTATGTTATATTAGTAGTCCTTCAACAACGTTTGTATCTTTAACACATAAATTATTATTAACCTCCACCTATTTATAATCTTATATAAAGATATATTGTACGTCATTATCACGATTTGATTTCATCAATATCTCATGATGGACGTTATCAGTTTTATTACACCTCTACTTTTATGTTATAAACACCAGATAAAATTACATTTGTAAAGTTTCCTTTATTGCGACATTTTATTGTTTTATGTTTAAAATCTGTCAGAGTAACAGACTAATATAACTCACAGCACGTGATTAAATTGATCTCACGTGATTAAATGGGCGTACAATAAGCCGAAACGCCCCACACAATGTAGTAAAAGTGCAGAACGGAAGAAGCCCATCAGTTAAAGTACAATAATCGCACACCTGTGTCATTACACCATTATCGTCAAAACCCCGATCCACTGCGCCTAGTTTGTACAAGTCCAAATAATAAAATAAAAATCAAACTTTCCTGTTTTCACAGAAAAAACAATACCCAGCATTACTACAGCAATATCTCTTTTCTAAATATATATTTTATTCATTAAAGAAATATATTGTATTAATCAAAGTAATATATTTTATTAATCAAAGAAATATATTTTATATTGTATTACTTATTTTAATAATTGAAAATATATATATATTTTTTAATCAAAGTAATTAAATAAGAAAACAATATATTCGTAAATATTGCAAGGTATTTTGTATAAATTAGGGATTGCTGTCATAAGTCTAATATAACGTGAAAATGATAACTGTCTCAAGGGTTTTTTAAAGGCATTTATGATTTTTTCTGTCCTGCGTGTCAGTAATATATAAATACAAGGTATATGGCTGTATAAATATATCGACGTATATTACATATCATATCTCATTACACCCAGTCACTTCATACCACTCTTACAATATTTTACAATAGATATGTCCGTCTATTAATAAAAAAAAATGTTTAATCTTACAAGAATACCGCCTTCTCTTTTATATTTCGTTTGGGAATCCTGGGCGTTTAGGGCGTTAACTTTTTTTTGTATTTAATTCTTTCTGTAGTTTTTTAATCGGAGTTCAGCTTTAATGTCAATATATATAGAAAATACTGAGTATGGGATTTAGCTCCTTTAAACATGTCTTTATGACTGGTTTAATCCCGATTACTTCCTGCTTGTCAAGGTGATTATACGGTGATATATTTATATACCATACCTTGTATAATGTTTACCACCGTATTACAATACACCTTATACCGGGTATAAATGGATATAAGACTAACAAACAAAATGGAGACGATTAAAAGATTACAAGATAAGGATTTGGTGGTGGTGTTTTTTATTTGTTGTTTACGAATGGTCAACAGTCAGTAAGTATAACTTCTGTATTAATATTGTGGCTCCCTGCTCCAATTGGGATAACGAAGATGGGCATACGCCATACAGTGTGCTATGAAAGAAAGTTTGCCGAACAGCTGCACTACGACTTACTCTTATTTCAAATTCCAACTATCAAGGCTTCTTTTACGTGCACGCTAATGTATACACGAGACCTCCGGATTTTTCCTCCCATCAGAACGACTATACGTTGTCCCGAGCCAGGCCCTCCGCCCTGCACCACTTGCAATGAGGAACTATATATATAATCTAGGGAAAACAGATGAAATTTCTCGATCAACACCGGGATCGAACACGGGACACCTATAGTTAGCGAGGCAACGTTTTAATCACTGATCCATCGCGAAAAGAAAGGTAGTTAGCCGAACATGGAAACATCAGGCGATAAGTTTAGTTTGGTTACCTGGGTCATATAGAAAACACTGAACAACTAAATACACAGTTGTGAAATTTCCGGTTCACAACGACAAGAAACGATGGGGTACATAGATGACACCTGAACCCTAACCTTGTCATAAACAGTAAAACGTCAGTTAACCAATCGGCCCTACATCAAACATATTACACCATTTCCCTAGCATCTAATAAAGATTTTAATGAGGAACATTTAGCACTAGTTCTCAATGAAGCTCAAAATAACAACACGGTAAAAACAAATACAAGTCAGGTCCGATTAATTCAGGGTGGAATTGGTGCACCAGTTCCAGTTGATTCTCCGCTTCCAACACAAAGCTGTGCCCAGTGACGGGTGCAAGATACTTAGTTAGGGTAGGGCAAGATACTTAGTTAGGTGTAGGGCAAGATACTTAGTTAGGGGTAGGCCAAGAGACTTAGTTAGGGTTAGGGCAGGATACTTGGTTAGGGGTAGGCCAAGATACTTAGTTAGGGGTAGGGCAGGTTACTTAGTTAGGGGTAGGGTAAGGATACTTAGTTAGGGGTAGGGCAGGATACTTAGTTAGGGGTAGGGCCAATGGTGATTTGGGGCGCATATCTGGATCTGAATAAAACATTCAGTTTCATCAGATACATCAACCCAAACAAGACTTCAGATTTACACGTTTCATAGACAGTGAATAATAAGTATTTTTTTTACACGGTCATGTAGGGGGCTGGGCCTTAGGCCCCCACGTCTATCGGCTACTGACTACACTGATAAATATATAATTAGAAGAATGATGTGTACAACCCGACGTATACTGTAATAAGTTGATCTATTTTCAATATTTTTTTCTTAATTCAGGGTTAATTTTTCTGCTCCCTGCAATGGTGTTCAGATCATGGATGCCCCGTTGTATAACCCGTCAGCAAATATCCGGCAAGTATCGGGAATGTTTGCTAGAGCAGAATTTAATGTGAATGACTCAAAACCAGGAGGCCTTCCAGCAACATTTCAACCATCTTTCTATCCTCTTGTATTTACGGTGGATTTATCACCAAACAGTGATAATGAAGTTGAAATCAAATCTGTTCAGTTGTCCAATTCAACTAATATTCGTGACATGGATATGCGCATTATCAAACAAAACAATATTTTTACCTCCCCAACTTTCCTGGCAACAGTAAGTAATTTATATATCTTGTAATCTTATATCATGTCCTGGGCCCTGTTTCTCGATACAATCCAAATTTTAAAAGATACTTCAATTTTGATTGGCTAAGCACTAAAATCAATCTAATATTATCCAATCAAATTACTAAAATTTGGATTTTATCTTAGTTAAAATTTCGTGAAACAGGCCACCGGGTTGTAAGAAGCAATGCTCTCTAGTAAAAATTCAGCGGGTTCCAATCCGGGTGTGGCTAATTTGGATACCATAAATTTTAAAAAAAATGTTGCCCCGAATCCAGCACAATAAAGAAAAGAAATACACAAAATGGTAGGCATATGGGGATTTGTGACTCCCTTGAGATTGCTGGTAAAGTTATGGCAATATCAGTTTATTAATAAACTAAACTCGCATGATTTTTCAAATGTGTTCCCCTTTCTTCAAACTTGTGTAGTACATGTTGACTGTGATATGATTTATAGCTATAGCTGGGTGGTGTAGAAAAACGTCTCATTTCTATCACCTGTACAGCGTATTCTTTAAAGTTGCAATTTCATATTTTTAAGTTATATTTTTAAAATTCAGTAAAATAAAGCCTTAAAATAGATGGTATCCATAAACAGTCCTACCTTGTTAAAGAATAATCCTATTAATCCTATAATTCACTATTGCCAGCTGAGAAATTGTCAAAAATATCATTTTCAACTTCAAATTCCAACGTTTGAAGATGGCTAATGCATGGAGGCAATAGGAAAACAAGGGAGGCAATTGCATTATTATTTCCTGTGTCAATGATTTTTAAGGGTGGGAAATAATGCCCATGGTCGTATAATAGTGAGTTGGTAACCTATTGAGCAAAAGACATGAAATAATTATGTTTTGACTTTCTTAGAAAGTGTACAGCGTAGTGCCTCCTGAATCAATTGAATTTATTTGAAAATACGTTTAATATTTGCTGTTTACAATGTTCCTGTTTGCTGTGTCTTACCTGCAGGTTTGTCTCAAGGGTTTCTTTATTTCTGTTGGCTGACAGACCTACTGATATCATTAGCCACATGTTTATTTCTGTTGGCTGACAGACCTACTGATATCATTAGCCACATGTGCATCTTACCCTGGGTAGCTACACCTCCACGTGGTAGACCAGGGGCCTGTTTCACGAAATTTTAACTTAAGATAAAATCCAAATTTTAGTAGATACTACAATTTTGATTGGCTAAGCACTAAAATCAATATAATATTATCCAATCAAATTACTAAAATTTGGATTTTATATTAGATAAAATTTCGTGAAACCAGGCCCCAAAAGTAAACAAATAATTGAAACTGTTCTTCAATAATATCCTGTTGATAAGTATGGACAGCTCGCACTGTAGGTTTTCAATACAGAATATGTCTTTTGTTTTTATCAACATGTGTGTATGTGTGTTACAGAATACATTTTTTTAAATCTTTAGTCCAGGTTAATTGGTGACGACCCTATTGCCTATCTTGCTGCCGGTACAACGGGAAAAGCCGTACAAATAAGTGTCATTTCTGTCAACAACACCAAACCTCTCTCATTTGATATTGACATACGAGCTTGTCTTGCAGGTAATGTTGCTTTTCATGTTGTAGTAATAGACACCTGATCTGAGGTGGCACCGGATTTGTTATATTAAGTTAGTGGTGTCAATCTTGGTGTGTATACATTTGGAGTTTCCTCAATTTCCAAGGCTAACGTTTGCATACAAAATAATATTGGTTGCGTCTAATACTAATTTGTGTTAACCGAGCATAAGAAATCCCAACTGATAAGCGAGGTTAGGAAATCCCATTTGATATTCTAGTCCGGTGACGGTGTAAGCAACTACTACCAGCCTAGATAATTGAAGAATATTAGTCCGTTATCCGATCATGCATGTTAGACACCATTCTGGATTCAAACGATCTGATATAGTATTCATACTAGCAATCTAAGTAAGTATATTTTTTATAAGCTAGAAATTGCTGACTGTTTCTCTAACAGGTTATGGAGATTAGCCATTAGTCGTTCAGGCAGGGCCAAATTAAACTTGCATGGTCACTGGCTCAAAATATCACTGGGGCCCTTGCATCTACAGTGAAAAGGCGACATATTCTGGTAATTGTATGCTACACTCATGTACATGCAATTTGTGTTAGTATGGTAGACGAATGTATTTATGGTTCAAAATGTTTTTGGAACTAATTTGGGGAATTCTTTAATATTGCAACCCATTTAATATTGGGTCCCCTGGCTGCAACCCAGTCAGGCACCTCCCGTTCCTGCATTCAGGTGAGTATGTTATTGTCTGGTGTGGTTATTGTATGATCTGCTTAATGTATGATTTTTTGTGGCTGATGGGGATGTTGTGATTTGGTATGTTGTATGATCTTCTGTGTTTGCTGTATGTTATGATTTGGTTGCTGTATGTTGTTGTGGTTGTTTTATAATCTGTGATTGCTGTATAATCTGTGGTTGTTGTGGTTGCTGTATAATCTGTGGATGTTTTATAATCTGTGGTTGCTGTATAATCTGTGGTTGTTGTATAGTATGTGGTTATTGTATAATCTGTGATTGTTGTATAATCTGTGTTTGTTTTATGATCTGATAAGAGTTGTTGTATCGTCTGGGGTTGTTGTATGACATGTGATTGTTGTAGGCTATAATCTGTGGTTGTTTTAAATCCTGAAAGAGTTGTTGTATCGTCTGTGGTTGTTGTATATCTGTTGTTGTATAATATGTGGTTGTTTTATATCCTGAAAGAGTTTTTGTATGACCTGTGATTGTTGTAGGCTATAATCTGTGGTTGTTTGATTTTTATGTTGTGGTTCTGTATGACATGAACAGCTACAGTTGTTGTATGATATGTTGTTCTAGTTTTATAACCTGTTATATGAATAGACTTGTTGTATGATATGTGGTTCTAGTATGTCTGGTATGGGAAACACGAACCAGCATCTTAGTGACAGCAAACAACCACCAACAGTATCAGAAGACATTGCTAGTGGGATTAGTTTTCAGCTGCGACTCTGAAACTTCTGCAGGTGATGATTATGAACTGAAACCTTGGAGTCCAGAGCTACATATAAAATACGGTTTGTTTTATCACTCAATAAATAAATAAAATCACACTCTCAACGCTTTCCAGGGAAGTGCCACATTCTCTAAATGGTTAACACGTGCACGCTGGATCAGATGGTCTGTTATTGAGTCAAGTGGCGTGGTTTCGATTCCCCGTATGTTAGTCCCAAAATGACCTAGTTTGTGTCAAGTGGATGTCAAACTCCATTGTTCTCTCGTACAGAAGTTACACACCCATTAAATGAGTAGTAGTATGAAGTATTCTAGCATCTATTTACAAGGACCATAACTCTGACAGTTAACTGGAGGCAGACCACCATTAATTTTCCCATTGACTTTGCCCACCTCCAACTTTTCCCCAAATTTTCGTTGGGCTGAATGCTTTTCATTACAGACAGAGGAACAAATGGTCATGTCTTTGCACTAAAATTTGTATGAGGTTGACCACCAAAATTTTGAGATACACAAACTTGAAGAAGCATACTAAAAACATGTAACTTGTTGCCGTACATATCACCGTAGCCAACCTGATAACCCCGTTATCCTTCCGCCACAAAATCATGAATATTTACCAAAACCTGACAGAAAATGTTAATTCAAACCCTCTTCATCCATGTAATACAATATCATTTGTAATCTAAATTTTATTATTGTATTTTGAATTCATATTTTAATTTATATTTTTCATTTGTAACCCATTTTGGACATGTGACAATCAGGATTGTCTGCTGAGATCACGTGACAGACTGCACGTTACAAAATGGGCATACTTAGAGAGACCGGGGAAGACCTGGGGAGAGACCTGTAGAGACCTAGAGGGGAATTCGGCCCGGACCTCGGGAGAGGGCCTGCCCTCGACCCCGGAGAGAGGGGTCCTGTGAGGCCTAGGAGAAGCAGCTATAGCTAGACGTTACTATACTCAACCAAATGATGTTCATATGTACCTGTAAATATGTTATCCAGTATTAAAATATATCTTTTTAATTAATCAAGAGTTATGTATTGTATCACATCGATTCTAGGCCAAAAAGTCAACAAAAATGGGCATGCAAAAAGGGAGAAAAGAGACAGAGAGAGAATTGTAATAGACTAACTACAATTTGTGGGTACCGAGATGATGAAATTTAATGGTGGTCTGCCTCCAACTCTGAGAGCCGTGGTGGCTCATCCAGTGAGTAAGACATTTGCTCGATAATCTGGAGAAAGTTCATCAGGGTTTTCTCGCATGGTTCCCTCTTGTCAGTGGTGCTGGACGGGAGGACCTGTAAGGGACAAAAGAAACACCCAAGATCCCGCGTACACATTGGTGTGCACTTAAAAGAACCCTTGACAGTTAGAATTCGAAAGAAGGGTAGGTTGTAGTGCCACTGTCCGAGCAAAATTTCTCTCACAGCAGAATGTATGGCGTATGCCCGTCTTCATTAACACACACAGAGCAGGTACAGAACAGAAGGATGTTAAACCCCATTTCATTTCCAAGCCAATCGAAGGACAGCTGTCTCAAGAGCGTCTACGGAAAGAAGGGGACTGACATGGAATCAAAGCCCAGGCCCAGGGGTTCATGGCAAAAAGAGAAAAAATTCAAATTCCACATGAAAGTTTCACGGTAATTGATCTAGTGGCGCGAGGGCGGAGACTGAGGTGTCCCTCAGCCTGCTATGTGAAGTTCAACTCGGTGATCAGTCTAGGCTTCTAGACTTGTATGCCATTCAGTTGAATAGATTGCGCATGTGATCAGATATTATGTAATTGTGTGTTACGCATGCGTGCCATTCTAAAGGGGCCCTGTGATTGCAGTCAGGCCCAGGGCTCCGTTCCGGTTAAGCTGGGCTTTGCATGGAATAGAAAACCAAGGGCAATAACGCTAGTATACAAAACAATATTATCATAAGTGAAAAAGTGGTGAATATATAAAAACTATAAAATTGAGATCTGTTATTATTTATTTTTGCCAGACTAAAACATTCAATTTTAAAATAAAATAGGAAGTAGAAATATTTGCTTGATCCATGTAGTAGACAAAGCTGATACATTACTCTCATACTGTATTATATATATAACATTACAATAACAAACTGAACAAATATTACACCTATATATTTACTCTTCACACTTTTACTCCTTGTGCATTGCAGATATTCTCCCATCAAAAGTCAAAACCTAGTAACTCACTTTTTTATCAAAATTGAGTTAGGACCAAATCTGTAGTTACTAGGGTATGTGCATCCTGTTGTTGTATTAGATACTCCAATCTTTTGATTTTGTAAGCAGTTATACCCATGACACAACCTAACAACTTTCTTCAATTGCCTAGTATACCAAAGCAAAACCTAGTAACTCAATAATCAAATCATTACGGTTTCCTTTGTTTTCTCAAAATAAGAAAAACGCGAGTTACTATGTGTTGTCTTTTGACGCGAGTATTGTAGAACAGTGTCTGAGCATTGGACAGCAAACTTCTTCTTGTCTGCAATAACATGCACTTTGGAAGAAGACATTAAACTCCGTACTAGAGAGAGGGAGACCAAAACCTACCCCCAGCTGCTCATTCTATATCTAAAATGTTCTTGTTTCATAAAGATGAGGTCTCTCTTTCCTTTCACCAAGTTGGGAAAATCCATTGCATGTGTACATTTGCTTTGCTGTTTTAACATGAAGATATAGTCTGCAGGACACAAGGAGGAAATCCATAAATATACCATGGTTTGGGTTACTGTATCTAAGCAACCATGTTGAGCTATATCTATATATTTAGTATAATTCTCAGATTTAAAGTACAGACCTATCTGATAATACTCCACATAAAGGAGTTAGTTTAATTTAAAATAGTCCAGAGATAAAACCCCAAACACATTAAATATCCATTTCACACTGCTCAATACTTGGCACACAACTTAAAACTTTAACTGTGTTCAAACCAACATTACAAAATCTGACCCTATCCAAACAAAATTGAAACGGACCTTAATGTCGATAAATAATCCATTTTAACGTTCAACTGTAAATATATTTAGATTAATATTTTTTTTTATCTTAATATACAAAAATTAAATACACATATATAATATTATATACACAGTAAAACTCTGTTATACTGGATTAATCTACTGTTGGATAAACGGAAACCAGACCAAAATAAAACATTGAGTCTCTTAATCATTTGTACTAAGTAGACAATTCTCTTTTCGCTTGTTTGAACAAAACAATTTAGGGATAGTTGTGAATATTCTAATTATAAACTAATTTTATTTTTCTGAACAAACAAAATGCTAGATATACTGTAAAACAATAGAATAATATGAACTCAAATTAGCCTAAAAACAAGGTTGGCAGATCAACATGTATGTGCATTTATTACAACTGTTGCAATGCACTCTTTTCTTAAATAATTATTCAGTGGTTTTTTTTTTTTATCGTCCACCAAATTATATTATTATTTTGAGGGTTAACACATTAAAATCTTGTTTTACAGCATTTGAATGTTTCCACAAAAAACAAAAGAAAACGCAAATTAATGTGTGTTGGGAAAATAAGCAAAAATATAGTATGTAGATGTACAGTCTTGCAAAAATTACGATAAATGTAAGGAAATGCCAAAAGATTAATTATTTCTGGTAAATTGTTATTTCAGGTAGGTTTTAGACCAGATGATACTGAGACAGTATCACTTTGATTTTCTTGGTGAATATGATAATGCTACTTGATACAATGTACATCTATACTCAAATAATAATCATTTATTTAGCTTGGCCTTATCTCTTCAAAACAGAGACAAAAGAATAAATGAAGCAATTGTTTTTTTTTTTTGTTTTTTTTTTCATTCTGCTAAAAAATACCTTTAACTATATGAACGAAATAGTAAAATGAATAAGATTATACACAAATTCCTTCTTTTCCATTTTTTTTTTTTAATATTCTGAACTATATGAACTAAATACCTATTTAAAATAATATATAGGTTTATAAACTAATTCTTGATAAGAGGACATAAGCTAATTATATACAATGTAATATGTCCTATATAAACGGCTTCAATATACAAAGAGCAGATAACTATGGATTCATACTCAATATATATTTAATAATTTGTAAATCCAAGGGAGACAAATTCAGATCACAGTCATATATTGAACTGCATCATATAAAATCATGTAACATCTTTTATATGAGAACATATTATTATTGGCACTCACAGGGCAATGCAAACAAAAAAACCCTGGCTCATCATTGGTTCCATTGTCTGCAATGAAAGCTCTGATATTACCCTTAAGTCTATTTAATTCTTTTTTATTTCAAATGCCAAGTCACAAGGAAACCGTAGGATAAAATACATGAATCTCTCAAAATGCACATACACACCCATTACACATTTCGTAAACTTTGTTTATATAAAATATCAACAAGAACTCTTGGAAGAAATTCATTAATTTAAAAAAAAAAAGTTGTTATGTTATTGGTATGATGCAACTACTTGATTTTGTTCATTGATTGATATCACCCTATACACAGACAATAAAATGTAAGTTAATATGTTATTAATGTAGAGTTCGGAGTAACAGTTTTAATTATTGTTTCAATTTTCCTATAAAATTCATTTTCATCTCCTTTAGGGGTGGGGGTGGGGGATTATACGATCGATGTTTCAATCACCGTAAGAACATTTTGGATAAGCCAAAATAACAGAAAGCTAGAACTGGGACTTCACTGAGATTTAAACACAAAGTTCAGCACATGACAAACTAGGGGGTTATTTAATATATATATGCCGGTCAAATCTACACTTTAAAATATATCAAATATATCAGCACATGTATATGATTATTTTTTTTACAAAGCTGATATATACCCCAATTAAAAGGCCAAAAATATGGGATGAGAAATACAAGTCAAGGAGATGAAGATATAATTACTCTCTTCATTCCCGCTCCATGAGCATGTTATTTCAGCTCCATGAGCATGTTATTTCAGCTCCATGAGCATGTTATTTTATATCACTGGTAAAATGACTAGTAGTTTGAGTTGGAAGATGCTGGCTTGACAAGTGTGTATGTGTGAATATTTGAATGACAGAGCCATGCAGATTTCATCAAGTATTAAGACTCTCAAATGTTCTCATTAATCAACAGGAGTGGTGGTGTTCAAAATATAAATAAGAGAGGTCGTTCATTATGTACTGTTTCTTGAGGATATATAAGTTCTCATTATAACAAAGTAAAACTCTAAAATTATAAATATTCACGGTATTTAAGAATCTGAAATTTGAGTTCCAACAAAACAAAACATTTCAATCCACTTTTAATTTATAAATCTGTAAGTCAATGCAGAACTCACTGTCTGTGACACATGCTATAAGAGCCAAATAACACTGTGAAAAAGGAGCCGATATTGATACCCTGATTAAACTGTTTATTTACGAACAAAATAAAACAGCCTAAAATTAATAATTGTCATAGTTTAAAAATAAGATCCACCAGTCACAGATCAATATTGGTTTAACCGATTCCATTGTATCTGAATTGAACTGTTGTTTTCTGAGAACTGCGATCATGGAATATTTCAGGAAATTCCAATACATGAAGAAAGCTAGATATCAGAGCTCTCACCGTAAAGTTCTGTCAATCTGACATTTAATACATTTTTAGCTAAGAGACACAAAACTAAAAAAATTGTACAATACAAAAGTTGTCACATATTTCTTGTACTTATGAAATAAAAACATTTATTAAGAAGGGAATAAATGATTTTATACATCATCCTCTTTGTTTAAAGTAATTCAGCTGTACATTAATTAATGTTTGTCAATGAGAGCCCAGTAATATAATAATTAGAGTTTATAAACCGATCAACAATACTGATAATATTTTATTTTTAGTCACAGAACATTAAAAGCCGTGTTAATGTGTATATATATATATAAATTTAACTCTTGATGCTGTACTTTTGACCACCATCTCGTAGTTGTTGACCATTAACCGTTCGGGATGTGATTCTACCATCTTCTTCTACCGTTACTGTTTCTTGACCGTTCTCTACCACTCTATAACAATAAGTTAATTACACACAAGTTTAGTGAGGATATTACTATTCCATTCAATTTAATATTTTGAAGCATTTTTGGTGCATTTGTTGAAACAGTAAATCATTTCACGCAATCTATTTTTCTTATACATGTTATATTTGAATAAAAACTGATTTCGCTGAGCTGAATTGATATCTAAGTCATTACTCTAATAGTAAATAAAGGGGGACTCCACCTCACATACTGTACTTTACACAAAACAAATCTATCGACAAGACACAATACGCAGAAATCACAAACAAAGGTACATATCAGATTATGCTAGCCGTAAGCATCCACTGCGCTGTACAGTCCCCTGGGCCTGTAGTGATACAGACTTCACTCAAAATTATAAAACAATCTATCAGGAATATAACCGAGAGAAAAACATAATGTTTAAATCAATTTATTTTCATTTAATCGTTCATTCAATTAATGGCTGTAAATATAATTCTTTGAGACAAGAAACCAGATCATTGGTTTTCATTGACATCGAATAACAAATACTATAAAACCAATGGAAGTTGTTAGAGACTTTTAAAAACAGCCTAACCTAGTACATCGATAAGATTAAACATGCATTATGCAAGAGCTGAATCTGCCTATTGCAGGTGTTTCTTTAGGCCTAAAATGTTATCTAAATTATTAATTAGACATTACTGTAATTAACTTATCCAGACCATAATCAACTCTTGATGCCATTGTTATGATGGATGATTTAACGTAATCAAGACTTTGTTTATTATCGTACCAAGAGTAGTAATGACGATCAAGGCTAGCTTAAAATTGAATCTCTAATCAGGGTGAAAGAATATTCTGGTTTCTTTAATAATAAATAATAAATAAGGCTAGTATGACCAATAAGATTAACAATAAATACAGTCTAACCTAGCTAGTAGAATTACAAATAACAACAACACTTACTTTCTTGTGGTTACCTTTTTACCATTAACAAATTTTGTTGATGTAGATGTAGATTTAAAGTTACCGCCCATTGTGGGGCCACCGAAATTTGTACTAGAAAATGAAGTAAACCTGAAAAAAAACAGAAGAGATGAAGGTATCAATACACCGGCCCACCTTAAACCATACATAGCTATTCTTCCACATATCCTACCTGGTCAAGAAAAAATATATTATTTGGACATTATTGGGTTGTAATTTTCCTTAAGTATAGGACTTTCAGATCAGACAGCAATAAAGCCAGACAGATTAAAGAAAGTACCCCCCCCCCTCCTGAAATGGAGTCAGGAGTGTTTTTTTCCATTTGAAAGGATGCTGTTGAGCTCACAAATCCATAGGGACATCAATGGTACTTTTACCCATCAAAAAGCTGTTAGTAATTGGCCAATAAGATGACAATACCATTTGTTTGTTCCCAGGCGAAGTCAAGTTTAGAGAGAACATTTTTGCATCACTATCACAAATCTCTTACTTTTTTAAGTTAGAATAGGAAGGTGGATTTTCCCTTTCTCTCCCTGGCTTGATAATCTCGACACAAGGTTGTGGACCAATGAAAACAGGATAATGAAGATTAAGAAATTACATATCGTATATCGTTTTAGCATTCAAGTAGAAATGTAACGAATATATTACTAAGTAACATGGGTTGTAAATCGTCTAGAGAAATATGAAAGAAGTCTATGCATGGGGTTGGTTTGTCTAGATCTGTAATTTAATCACATTGGATTTTTTGTACAATCAGCGACCATATTCCATGAAGTTGTGGTCCGAAATCCACGATTATCGAAAGAAACCATAATCTTTGCAACATGAACATATATTTCAAGTTTCGTCAAAATTTGTGACCTCTAGTGGTACTACACGCTAAAAACATGCTTTTTCATACAATCATGGGCCATAATCCAGGAAGATACAGTCCGATGTGCGCGATTATATTAAAAGAAATCAAGACATTTGCATTATAAACATATATAATTCAAGTTTTATCAAAATTAGATATCAATTGTGACCTCTAAAGTGTCCACAAGCTCAAAACATGATTTTTCCTACAATCAGGGGCTATAATCCATGAAGTTATGGTCTGATGGATGACAATATCAATCAGGGGCTATAATCCATGAAGTTATGGTCTGATGGATGACAATATCAAAATGAACCGAGATCTTTTGGAGATGAACCTATATTTTAAATTTCATAAAAATTGGATAAAAACTGTGACCTGTAGAGTGTCCACACAAAAATTGTGGATGGATGGATGGACGGACAGGGCGATGCCAATATGAAAATGTGGGCGTATAAAAATTTTCTTCTTATTTCTTTGCTGTTCAAAAGCTTTTTGTTTCAAATTTTGAAGTTTTGAAATTTTATTTTATTAATGTTGACTCTGAAGAAGAGAAAATACAGTTGGTGTGACCTCAGTGAAGATTAATTCATTATCCAACAACAGTTTACACTTCTGAAAATAATTGGCTATATCTTATGCACATTATCGGTCAATGAAATTCTTTACAATAACATTATCATCTTTTTATTTCTGTGTATTCCTATTCAGACTGCACTTTACATTTCTAATAACTGTTAGGTATACATAATACAGGATAACTGCAGAAACAAATACAAACTGAACAAACACTGAAGCAATACTACAGATGCACATTCCCACAGACATAAAATATATAAAAATTGAAAAAAAAAAAAAAAAAAAAAAAATCCTGTGGTCTGACACATTCAAACATCTAATCTATTTTTAATCATCTTCATAAATCAAGGAAAGAGTGTTATTCAACTTTGGTAAAAGATATACATGACTTATATAATGAACCTTAATCTGTTTGTGTCATATGATTAAATATTATTATATTGCCATCTCTCCATTTGTTGATTTAGCAGAGACTTTCATTTCACCTTTTTTGGGGAAGGAATCCTTTTATCAAGGAATTGAGTTAATGACATTGACTTCCTTGATTGATGAAGATACTCTACTAACAAACAGTCTATTATACATTTACCATGATTAACTCATCATAAACTACATAATCTCTCATCCAGAAAACATGCAGCCAGGTACATGCCCAATTACAACCTGATCCAATTTCATCCAGAAAACATGCAGGCAGGTACATGCCCAATTACAACCTGATCCAATCTCGTCCAGAAAACATGCAGACAGGTATATACCCAATTACAATCTGATCCAATTCAATGCACAATTAGCAGACAATGGATCAAATATTTTAGGTTTTAAGGAATAGTTTTCTAAACTAAAGGTATTTCAAAGCAAGTAGATTTATCCCATTCATAAAAAACCCCCACCTATTCTACACATGAAATAAAGCTGTGTCATACTAACATTATAACCCCCCCCCCCCACCTATTCCACACATGAAATAAAGCTCTGTCATACTAACATTATAACCCCCCCCCCCCACACACCTATTCCACACATGTAATAAAGCTCTGTTATACTAACATTATAACACCCCCCCCCACCTATTCTACACATGAAATAAAGCTCTGTTATACTAACATTATAACCCCCCCCCCCCCACCACACATGAAATAAAGCTCTGTTATACTAACATTATAACCCCCCCCCCCACCTATTCCACACATGAAATAAAGCTGTGTTATACTAACATTATAACCCCCCCCCCCACCTATTCTACACATGAAATAAAGCTCTGTTATACTAACATTATAACCCCCCCCCCCCACCACCTATTCTACACATGAAATAAAGCTCTGTCATACTAACACTATAACAATCAGTAGTGGTCACATTCAATCCAGATTTTAATATTCAAATATTTTAAGTCGTTATTTCAATGCTATTTGAATATTCAATCAATCTGAATGATTAATGTTTACTTTATATGTTAAGTTTTAAAATCAATTTTAAAATATTTGTTGATAACATTACGAAATGGGTGACAAAAATCTGAATATTGAATATACGTAAAACTGTGTTTGAATAGCCGTGAAACACTACATGGTAAGCACTAGTAATTTACTAGTAACGTCTCATCAACACATTCAGACTAACATACAGTCATATTGAGAATCTTGAGATAGCAGCTTTTCCTTCTACTACTCCAACTCTCAAAAGTACATGGCGTACAAATATGGACAAAAGTTTTTGGTCCCATCCGAGCAACTAGGTAACACATGACAAGTGGGAACTGTATTATCTAAATTCTGAAGGCCTTCTTGGCCCATGTCGACACTTCATATCGTTCTGTTATTGGGTCCTCTGGTTTCTTTCTATTACAAGATACATGATATGGGAATAAATATGTACTGTATGTTAGTCCCGAAATAACCTAGTTAGTGTTGAGTAGACGTTAAACCCCAGCTTTCTCTCTGTGTATAATAAATTATGCAGTAAAAACAAAAAAGATAGATTGCCAGGCAACAAAACATACGCCCACAGCAGCCATATCGTCCGGGAAGTCAACAAGAGTTGTCACATATTTTTACTTTTTTCGGTAATGAAACATTTATAATACATTAAAATCTGATTAAGAGTAACAACTCATTAAGTAATTATCAGAAAACCATTAGAATTTGTTTGGTTTTTATAAAGTTCTGCCCCATGCTAACGTTTAGTATACGAAACTTTTAACATCATGGATTTAGCTGTTCAAGTCATAAAGATTCATTGAAAATCAATATACTTGTTCGTCTCAAGACCTTAAACTATGTGTATCAATCTGAAGTCAATCGGATGATAACTTTGGCCTCTAGAGCGTCACAAGATTTTTCAAAGTGATCAAGGGCCATAACTCTGGCAGCAATTATCCGAAATCGTTGAAAATCAATATGATTCTTTATTTCATGGCCTCAAACACTGTGTATAAATTTAAAGTCAATCGGATATTAACTTTAGCCTCTAGAGCGTCCACAAGATTTTTCAAAATGATCAAGGGCCATAACTCTGGCAGTAATTATCGGAAATCGCTGAAAATCAATAGGATTCTTCATCTCATGACCATGTAGAGCGTCCAAAAGAAATTGTGGATGCCGGACCACCGGGCGGACAACAATATACGACCACATTTCAATGTGGGCACATAAAAATACAAGCAAAATTATTCTAAATGTACAATAAATGTAAAACAACTACAATACAACATACTGGGGTCAAAGATATGTGTCAAAAATTTACTTTAAAATCTACAATATTTTTTTTTTCCTCCGTTTTTTAAAGTGATTAAAATATCAACTTTGCCTGATATTGATTACCAAATTCTTCCATGAGGATTGAAATATGCTGGTGTAGCCAGAAGATGAGTCTGTGGGGATTTTTAGGAAACATCCATACTCAAATAAACAGAGAGAGAGAGAGAGAGAGAGAGACTAACATGGTTCAATTTTATTTCAATAATTTGCTTGTGCGTAGGGGTCTTTAGCAGTGGGAGGAAACCAGAGGACCCGGAGAAAACCCACGAGGTTGGACAGGCGACCTTACTCCTTGTCACGTACAACCGGAGTATCGAAGCCACGCCAGTTGACTCATTGACATGCTAACCATTCGGCCATCCACCCCACCCACCCCCTCAAATCAAGATGTGCAATATATTAATTTAAGGAAGTTGACATTAAAATTTTGGATAAAGAGAGAGAGACTAACACATAGTTCAATTTTATTTCAATAATTCGCTTGCGCGTAGAGGTCTTTAGCAGTGGGAGGAAACCGGTTGGATAAAGAACCTGGTTCAGTAAATCTTAGCTACACCACCACGTAAAATTGGTTTTAATAATAAATTATGACACATATAATAAGCCACTACCACCTCTAAATCTATTTAACACTTTACTACATTTACGTCCAAGCCAGCATGCAGAATTCAGAGGAATGAGGGTTAAAATAAAACGTTGAGATTACCCTGAAGCCTGTGGCATATCCATAAAAGGATCGTCAAATATCGACGAATGACCAAAACCAAAATGAACTCTTGGAAAACCCAGAAATGGGTGATGGTGGTGTAGAGGTGCTCTATCTGCTCTGCGATGCTGTTGCATTGGTTCTGCTCTTCGATGACGATGTCTTCGATGACTGAAATATTTGGATCTTTTGGAAACTGTTCCTCATCCCCCATTGAAACTTATTGTATTATTCAAAGCTTAATCTGTGGTCTTACTTGCAATGTAAAGCCATTCATTAGCTGCATGCTTAAAAACGTTAAAAATCTAACAACTGAAGGTCAGGAAGAAGCAGGCATAGGCGTGGGTTGAAGAATTTCTGATTTAAGGAAATAAATCTAATTTGTCTCAATCTTTGAATATTTACTGCTATTCTATTAGCATATATCTCCTACTTTTTATTGTGTAAAATTTGAGGTTTGAGGACAAACACATAATCACATATATTTTTGTTTGCGACATTTACATGAGGTCTATAATACCATCCAGTGGTAAACTATAATCATGGTTTGTGTTCATGTCTTTATGAAATAAATCCATAAACTACCTAACTATTTACTGAATCTTCGAGTTCACATTGAGGAAACAGATTAAGCTTACTTCCAACGATATTTGTCAAACTACATCTGACTGAGATTTTCAATATATACACGTACAGTTCCTGTAATTATTTTCACGCGTCAGGGTTATTTATTATTACCGAAAAAACTCATCTGTACATATGAGCATCATCATATGGCCACGTCATTTTATCAGACCTTTCTGAGAACACAAAGAATGGACAGACCGATTTGTAAGTATGGTTAAATATGAATATAGTTACAATCTCTCACTTTTACAGATAATATTCAATCATGAAATCAAGTCCTAAATAGTTTGACTCAATCTTTGTCCATCAAATATCAATATTAACCCAGGTCCAAAACAGCCCAACCAACAAAAAATTGTAAAGTCGAACTCTATAAATATTTTTTCTTAAGAAGTCACTTGAAGGAGAGATTGTAACATGGTTAATTATTAAAACAGGTCAAACATTCCAACTAAAATCACACAAATGTTAGAAAGTTTAAAACAAAAACCAAGGAAATACAAGGTAAAATGCTTTAAAACAAAACAAATGCTCACACCAACATGAAAATAAAAACTAAATGGTTAAAATGCAGTCTGAGAGATGCTTGGGTGATCCCAATAAATTATATCTCTATTCAATAAACTTGATGCTAAAATATTCTTACAGATTGTAAAGTAACAAATAAATAATAAAAATTAAAAGTGCAGATAAAATCTAGATTTGATTTTTAAAAAGAATCTCTATAAATATATGTTGATATTTATTTGTACAGTGAATTCTGGATATGTCAACAGTGTAGGTAGATATACGGTATGGGAAATATAATAAATATGATTGCTTATAATCCTTATAATAAGACACGTAGATTTCACAAATTAAAAACACTTATATGGATATACTACTTCTGAATTTATTAACATGCTACATTTCGATACACATACAGATATCGTTATCGGCGGCATCTGTATGTGTATCGAAACGTAGCATTTTAATAAATTCAGAAGTAGTATATCCATATAAGTGTTTTAATTAATGATTGCTTATGTTATGAGCCGATTCCACGAGACTATTGAACTGATTCTTTGAAACTGAATCCAAATCAAATGGAAAGAAAATGCAGCTAATATATTAATTACATAATTTCACAGTGGATAAGATTGTCGAAATGATGAATTACGTAAGTTGATTGAATCAGATTTCACTATTTCTGATCGATATTACATATGGGCAGATTACACAATAGTATTGAATCTGTTCAATCTTTTAAAACAATGTTGTATTAATCAGAATCTGAATTTTAGTAATGTGCATAAATGAATAAACCAAACCCCATGCTGTAGGACTGGTAACAGTTGATTGGATAGGATTGAGGTTGAACCTTCTCCACCTTAACCTTGTTTATAATATAAATACTTGAGCTACATGTTTAGAACTTACTATGCGTAAAAACTTTAAAGAAAAAAAAAAAAGTAATAAAAGAATAAAATAAACAGCAGATAATATTGATATGACTAGAATAAAGTGTATGCATGTTTAAAAGAAACTTTAAAAAAAAAATTCTGTTTGTTTTTTCACAGAGAATCAAACCAGTACAGATGTACAATGGACCAGGAACAGTGTGTGACATTATCACTGTCATTTTGGAACGGTGACGTATCAAAAATAAAAGTCCCTCAATCAATGCACAATTGTCAAACGAACAAGTATACCAAGTTTCATGACCCCGAAAAAAACCCAACAATTTAAGCTATTTAATATCTTAATTGTATTTTGTAAAAAATTGAATGTGTTTACTCATGTTTATGCAGTGACAAAACCACATTAACCCTCTGCATATGTGTTATTGTCTTTACTATGTACTATTGTAGCCAATCGGTGACGAATGACAAGTGCCAAGATACTAGTAACAGGCTATCTGGGTAAATAGAAACAGGTAACCCTGATGATTTCATATTTAAAGGGTTAAGTAAAGCTATTAATAAATAAAAGATGATGTTGATGTTTGGATGTCAGATTTTCAATATATCAGCCATGGTGCTGGTGTGTTTTTTTTTCAGATAGTGAGGCGTGATTGTGATGCGATAGCGAAAAGGAGTGATAAAAAATAATATTTAAAAATAGAAGCCAAGCGTCGATTTGCCACAGATTAAGCTTGTTTACTTACCCTGAACCACCGAAGGGATCCATGTCGAAAAATGATGATTGAAAAGAGGTACGTCCTGCGCTTGGAAAGCCTATAAAAGAATTTTCAAACATCGAACCATTCATTTGTCGATTAGCACCTATAAATAATGGAATATATGTTGTTAATATCTAATCTACATCAATCTAAAATAAACAAAATAAAAGATATATAAGTAGTTCTTGAGAATTGTCACAAACATCTGATATTTCTGACTCAAATGACTAATCTAGGCTGTAAATTATTTTCAAATTTTAAAACTATTTGACAACTTTGAAACTAATATACCAAATAGCCAAAGTTTCGATGCCTCATACACCCTTTCAATGATACTTTGAAAATGCCAAAATGCCACAATCCTTATTGGATAATGCCTATCTATCTTACTAAATTAAAATGATTCCCCCCCCCCCCCCAAGACAAATACATGTGGCTCCTAAAACTTTTCTGATTTGTGTTTTGTTTTTAACGTAAGCCTTCCTTAAGAAATAATAATAAATTTAAGGTATTAAAATTTAATTTCCATTAGGCCTCTAACATTTTTCACTACTAAACTCATTTGAGATTATTGATTTATCTTTTAACAAATCATCATAACCCCAAAACCATATGTTTAACGTCCTACTGTTCTGCTCCAACTGGGTTAATGAAGACGGGCATACGCCATACAGTGTGCTATGATAGAAATTTTGCCTGGATAGCGGCACTACGGCATCTTCTTTTATTAAATTCAAACTGACATGGGATCTTTGTCGTGCGCACCAATGTGTACACGGGACCTTTTTTTTTCCCCCATTCAAATGAATAGACAGCTGTCCATGTCATTGTGTAGTATTGTAGGACTTTAGGCCTTCTAATACCAACAAATTTGCCATTTTAAACCACTGTACACAAATAATTATTTTTTTTACAGATAAGAGTGCTGTTCTTTCTAAGACATTAGAATAATTAGATATAAAGTGAGTTCAGATTTCCTTTAATGGTAATATATAAAACAGTAACAAAGGCTTTTGTTTACTGTGGTTTTGAGTTTGTTTTTTTTTTCTTGCAGTTCTAATTTGAGGCTTCATCTAATTGCTTAAATTGCCTTACAATAAAATAAACGCTTGTTTTGGCGAATGATGGTATGGTAAAATTATGTGACCCGAGCCATTGGCAATATCATTTTTCCAAATATATCTTATATGTCGCAATAGATCTAACAACGTTGCCCTAATCTATATTTGTTAATGTCGTGACTTAAAAGTTATGGGAGGGTGATGGTTGTTCTTATACAAGTTAAAATTGATTTTATCTAAATGTTTAATGACTGTCTTATGCTCATTATCACTAACAAGCTTAGGTTCGAAACTACGAAAGTCGAATCAATGACAGATCTTACTCTGCCATCCAAGTCCCTATCAACTAGCAATTAGGCCATTTGTTTCGCAATGAGCTCTTGTTTGTTGCCATTCACGATTTTGAATTATCTGGGTTCGGTACTTGACAACTCAGCCAATCAGATTCTACTAATAAAGAGTTAACTCCCTGTAAACTAAATATTATTAAAAGGAAAAATAAAAGAACCATAATATTAAAAAAAAAAAAATTAAAAAATAAAAAATATTATTTTTTTTTATTCCCCCCGCCCCCCATCCCCAGGTGTTGACCAAATTGGTTTCCAATTTATTTATAGTCTTAATAACCAAAAACGAATGAAATGGGGTTTAACATCCTACTGTTCTGCTCCTACTGAATAACCCAAACCACATCTCAAGTGTCTTGAACGGTTCCAAATAATTACCACTGGATGCCAACTGATAAATTTCTATCCCATTTCAATGTCTCTTCCTTAGTTTTGTCCGGCAGCTGAACACCACATTAAAACTTTACCCCATATCCCTCCCTTTACCAGATACTTTTGTCCTATGCCAGATAAAATCCCATTACTTTATTTTCTCTGGTGCCTGATAACATATAATTTATCTAGTATCTCACTCCTTAACTTTATCCCTCCCCTTTGGTTTGTCCGGTGCCAGATAATCCTTATCCCTTAGCTTTGGTTCCTTGCCTGATAATCCCTTTCCATTAGCTCTACCTTCAACATCCCTCCCCTAAACCTGACACTCCCTGTGCCTTAGTTTCGTTTCTGGAGACTGATAAATAATGAAATATCCTCTCAGTTTTCGTTACCTAGGAAGAATTCACCAAAAGGATCGTCTGTTCCAAAAAAGTCCTTAAATACATCTTCTGGACTTCGGAAAGAGAAATGGAAATGTCCAGCTCTGCCCATATTTCGGAAATCATCATCAAAGCTTGGTTCGTTGAGGACTCCAGATTTTCCATATCTGTCATAAACATCTCGCTTCTTTGCTGGAAGACATGAAAACATTTAAATCAACTATTGGATGATCACCTAAAAAAGCCTAGATTGGTGTTTTCTAAGACATGAAAAGTTCAAATAGCCTTGAAAAAGTATTTAAATTCAAATGCTTGTATGAGCACTAATGGAAGATCATCCAGTCTCATTTGACCATGGCTGTTGATTGTTCAAAATGTCATTTTCCTCAATTATCCAGTTACAGAATGACTATTGGATTATTAGGGGTACTATTTAACTCAGTGAGTGAATTATCCCACCAAACCCTGAAAATTATACTTTGCAATATCACCCTACATGTACATCACTGCTGACTGGTATCTACAAAAACTTACCATCTGATAAAACTTCATATGCTTCTGCAATCTGTTTAAATTTTTTCTCTGCTTCTACTTTTTTCTCTGGGTTTTTGTCTGGATGCCATTGTAACGCTAGCCTTCGATATCTAAACATAAAAACAAAAATGTTGTAATGCAAACTAAAATTAAAGGACACTTTGCAGATTATCAACCATAACACAGACCGAAACCAGTTAAAATACACATTTCGTTCAAAAATAATTGAGCTTCTCAAATAATGTATATTTAATGTCATTTGATCGCAGTCAAGAGGGACACCACAGTCACGAGGGACACCACAGTCACGAGAGTCACGAGGGACACCACAGTCAAGAGGGACACCACAGTCACGAGGGACACCACAGTCACGAGGGATACTTCACTGATCACAGACAAGAGAGACATCACAGACAAGAGAGACACATTACAGATCACAGTCTGAGTCAAGAGGGACATCATTGATCACAGTCAAGAGGGACATCAGAGAGTCAAGAATGATGTTACAGTCAAAAAGGACAAGATATTGGGTATCGAAAAAGATTGTGATTATTACAATGTCACAAGGCTCTACACAGCATTTTGAACTTACTTGCGCAATCATAAGTAAATTTTCAAAACCACTAGCCAAACAAAATTTTCAGTTGCCAAGTTGTCGTCATTTTTTTATGACTCGGACTCACTGCGAGACGAAGACCGTGGTGAGGCTTGTAATTTTGCTTGTTTGGGTGGTGTAGCGTCAGTAGCATGACTACATGTATCATCATTTTTCCCTGACTGAGACTCACTGCGAGACGAAGTTACTTTACTAGTAAAGTAAGATGATATAGGTTTGATTCGTCTGCTAGCCATGCTGTCAGCTGTTTCGTAAACTTCCGATAAATACAGCAAATGCGCAATGAGAATTTCCTCGCAGAGGACAATGTGATTGACCCAATTTCAAAACAGGAAGTAAACAAGAGTGACAGTCGACCGGGATCATTGCCGATTACGTTATCTTTACGGAGAGAAGTTCAGATAGCTATAGTGTTAATTGGGGACTTCAAGATATATGTTCACTCGCCATAAATATCTTGTCGCCATTGTGTTTCAGTCGAATTGTAGAGCCTTGTGTCAGAATTTGAGACAGTCGGTTCATTTTCAGCCTGTTTGTACTTTACATAAACAAACTCTCAGCCATCTTTTATCAGGATGCATATTATAGTGATTTTAGGTCATATTGCTACATGTTTGAATGAACTCTTGACTTTGATAAAGTAATAATATAAGTTCCTGGTAAATCAATTGTGAAAGGAAATGAATCCTAGCACATCATTCAGTAAATATTTATCACATAAAAGATTAAATTTATACTCACGCTTTTTTAATTTCCTGTCCTGTGGCAGTTTTTATAACACCTAAAATTTCATAGTAATCTTCCGACTTGGTTGCTGGCATGATTGTATATTTACACTAAATACACTATACTACCCATATACTGAAATAAACACATACAATAATATTGATATAGCTGAATGATACGTACATGTACAACTACCATTCTTACGGTATCAAACAATTGAAGAGTCCAGGGGAAGAACGATTTAAGTCATATTTTTGTCTTTTAGCATAAAACGCAAAACAAACTTTTGGACAAAAATACTTAATGCGGACAGAACAATGAGCGGGTTTAATAACAACTTCAAAATGATGTTTAATACGACCCATAATTACCAGTACAGCTGACTTCACCATTTCAGCCCAATTAAGGTGAAATAAACGGTACCATGGACATGTATTTAACCTGGGGGCCATTTCAGAAGAGTCTTGGTTCAATGTGACTCCGATCGTTTTTACCTGAAATTGATGGTTCCACAGAAAACTTATACAATTGGCTACCAGATGACGCCATTAAATGGGGGTCATGAAAAAGTGACTAAGATCATTCTTCCCCTGGGCTCTTCAATTCATAACAAAACACACCACTTTATTATCAACATCTCACACTGTCCAGTCAGACAAGATGTCAACTTCCAGTCACATACATGTAATATGTCAACCTCTCAGATTGTCCAGTCAGACAAGATGTCAACCTCCAGTCACATACATGTAATAATTCAACCTCTCAGATTGTCCGTACAGACATTGAACGTAAAGAATAAGTCAAACCAATTTATATTACATGTACATGTAATAGATAACATCTGTTTGTAAAATACAATGAAACAGAGGATTACAGTAAATAATAGACTGACTATACATGTATCTACATGTATACGATGTCTATATTGTATTATTGGCTACATGAAGGATACATGTGTAATGAATCTCATACTATACCAAGTCCACATTGTGTAAGCTAGTAATGTACATTATACATGTATACAGTTACCAACCACATACATGTATTGATTATACATGACCATTACGTGACAACAAATTAAGTCCATTTTAAATAAAAATACACCTCCAGCTGTTGTAGATTGTTTATATATAAACATAAAAATGAGGGATTCCCCCCCCCCCCACCCAACCCTTAACTCAGGAACAACAGATTTTATGTTACATGTAGTACGGTAATATACCATGTATGTGTTTAACAATGTAACATTTTGGTCTGCCAGATGACATTCTTCAGATACATGATTTTAACTCTGTAGACATTTCATTTTTAATTTTTATACAAATTTTTTTTCAAGTGATGTACATGTACATGTACCATAATGCGATTGTATAAAAGATTAATTTTTGAGAGATTATTTTTTTCTAAAGCTTAATCCTCCTATTGATAAAATATAGAATAATCATATACATGTATTAATATCAAAATCATTTGTTGCTTTTGAAGAAATACATGTACTAATCATGTATTAAAAGTAAGATGAAATAATAATATAAGTTAAGATTAACTGTTAAAAATAAAAGAAACTGAACTATCGTTATTAAAGTTTAAATGTTCGCTTTTATCTTAGCTTGTTCAATGCAGGTGTTTAACTGGCGTCTCACGACTAGAGCACTGCCACATTTTCTCAAAGGTGTTTCATGTAACCGAAAGTAGTGTAATTCCAAAACACCATCAGGCCCATATTCCTGAAGCAATGGCTTGAGAAATCCCTCTCTGACCATTGATGGATTGGCTTCTGATACTTGAGCTTTTGAGGGAGTGTGTCTATTCTTCCCGTTCAATCAAATCTATCCCAAGTACAGCAACACGACAGCCCTTCGTTTAATCTGGGGTCTTCCCTAAAACTTTTGACAGTGATTTAAACATACATAATGCAAGAACTAAATCTGCCTATTGCAAGTCTGTCTTTAGGCTTCAGATGTTATTGAAATTATTCATTAGACCTTTTATTTACATGAGACGCCCAAAATCAACTCTGTAGACCCTCGGATGGCTTGGATACAGCTGGGATTTAAACAGTCGTCCATTTAAAATTAAATCAAGAAATGGCCGACCAAGCTAAAGATAGCGTTAGTCACTGACGTCACTACTGGAAGCTGGTGATGAAAGGCCTACAGAGCGAGGATACTATAGCCATTGAGAATGTTACCGATAATCGAGAATATGTGGGTGGAGTTATCATCTGTCAATCAAACGATCGACAATTCTTGTAGACGGTGCGGAGACAGTTGATGCCCATTTCTAGTCCTATCTTTTTTAAAAGTCACCTTTTATACCCCAGGTCAGCACCATAAAATCATGATTTTCAAAATTCCCATTCTGTTGAATTAAACTTGTATGTTTGCCTGATAGAATTGTTCTGTAGTTACCCGATCATTAAAACATTATTACATTGTATGGTATTATCATTGTTCTAACATTCAGGATTGAAAGATTCAAGTTAATCTGTTAAACAACACTTACAATAAAGTGGTGTGTTGTTATTGTGTATGATAGTGTATCCCTATATTTGTTGTTCTGATAACAGGAAAATCTGTACATATTTTCATAATGTGTAACGTTTTTGGAACTTCTATTTGTCTGCCAGAAAAGTTATTGGTCTACCATTTCTATTTATTGGTAAGAAAATATTGGGTCACAGAACTGGAAATATCTGTCTACAATCTTGGATAAAAGAACAACACAACACATATTTCATGGTGTAAACATTTTCCATCACATATTTCTTTACATACGATTAGCTTTAATGTTTGTTTACAAGTCCTAGGTAATGGCTCTTTTTATTTGTGACTTGTTTGTTGTTTCTCAAGATATGATTAACCAGTGGTAATAATAAATCAACTCATCCAATATCAGTGGCAATGTGTTGAAGTCATACAGACCACAGCTTCTATACCCATCTCTACAGGTTTAATCATAAACATACATTATGCAAGAGCTCAATCTGCCGATTGCAGGTCTTTCTTTAGGCCTGAAATGTTATCTAAATTAATAATTAGACAATAATTAACCCTTTCAATGCTAGACGTAAATCCACTGCCTGTGCTAGACCCTTTTTTGAGGAAAAAAGGGAGGTTGGAACTGAATGCCAAGCAGTACTTATGGAAGCTTTTATGAAAAACTTTTTTGTCTGTTGGGATGGGCATGGGGTTGGGCTAAGAGGAAAAAATAGAATTTTGGAAATTTGCATAATAATGTAGTCACGTGACGTCATGGCGGCCATTTTGGATTTCTCATTTCTCACTAAAGCTAACACGAAAACGAATTTTTCTCCATGAAATACTTAAAAGATATTGTTTTTTTCACTGGATTTTGATAAAGATATATAAAATGAACAAAAATATCAATAGCAGCCATGAGCAATGCCGCCACGAACACGCGCATCACGTCTCCCGCTGCCATGACCACGTGCGGATTGCAATACCTTGTTTTTACTTTCACTTTCATCCCCAAGTCCCATATCATTATCAATATAGTCAGTCAATAGATCTACACGTTCGGGACTCAGGAATTGCCTATGTCTTTTACGATCCAGCAGGCCAGCATTATTATCAACATCAGAATTATTGTCAGAATCTACTGCAGACACAGGGCTATCGTGTTAAATTCACATTGGGCTTGTTCATCATGCACGGGAGACATAGCTAGCCATGGGCGGAATGTCGCGCAAAAAATCACACACTTCATAATACCAATCACTGTCCTGACTACTTTCATTATTGAGTAACTGGAAACGAATGTGTATCACCCGCCTTGAAATTGTCCACGTGTTGGTCAGCAAGACGTCATTCACGACTTCGCCGAGAGTGCATCGTCTACGTTGTCACTATGCACTCCGCCATTTTACGGTTTGCCACTTTGAAACACGTGGAAATATGTTCTAGTGTATAGAAAATACAATAGATGGCACTTGCAGTTACGGTACTAATTTTAGCGAGGGCTTTACTGAGTACATGGTAATACCGGGTACGCGCATTTTACTGACATTTTATAATACCCGGTACAACCGGGTATACGCAGTGAAAGGGTTAACTTATCCAGGCCATAATCAACTCTAGATGGCATCGGATTTATCTGATATTAAATAGATTAGAACAGTTCAGCCATTTTTGATTTAAGCTAAAATTGGAGGAGCTAGAATTAGCTTCGAACAACCAGTACAGTGGTTGAAATTATTGCATACGTCTTGTCAAACGTTCAAAGGCTAATATCTTCTCTCGCAATAGAGTACAGTGTAATTTGAATGAAATTTTCAAATTATTCATTTTACATGATCTATTTTCGAACTATTATAACAAGAACAGCCAGCTCTTTATCTAAATCTTACATAATGTATCTTTAATGTCAATCTACAAATACTTCTACAACAACTAAACATTGAATCAACCATAATACTGGAAAGAGAGGAAACTTTTCAGTACAACAATACATATTCTATTGTGACTTATTGAAAGTATGGTATAATTTAAATATGACATATTATTGATACATGTACATATAGCACACTCAACACAAACCAAGTCATTTCGAGACTAATATGTTGCAATTCACTTCAACAGTGGGAAGACAGGACCCAGAAAAAACCCCACGAGGTTTGACAGACGACCCTTATTAAAAGCTTGGGATTGAAATCACACCACTTGACTAAATGACACACTTTATGATCTAAAGTGCTTATGTTGGGACAACTCAATCAACCCCTTAAAGTTTGTCAACAGCTGATTGGAAATAACCTTAAGAAGCCATTAGTCATTTGCCATCCTGGTTTTTCCTTTTTTCATTGTAAGACAGAAGGCCTGGGTATACGGAACTACTTAAGTCATTCAGATGGGACAACAAATATCGAGTCCGCAACGCAATACACCACTGGTCCCTGGACATTTGAAAATCGAACTAAGAAAGGTACAATGTACATGTAGTATAGTGCCGTTGTTAGGCCAAGATTTCCCTAATAGCACACAATGCAGAAAAGTAGTACATTAAAAACCATTTGAGGAATTATGGCTAGACAATCACATCAGAAGAGATTATTAATGGCTTAAGTGAGCTCTGCACTACGCACAAAGAAAACCGATAAGAAAAACGTGCGGACA